TATAGTTTGTTGTGTGGTCTGCATGATTTTTTTCCGTGCTTTTTCCCATACTTTTTCCAAGGAGAATCTACAGGGTATAGTGCACTAAGAATTGCCCACTCAAAGCAGCGGTTATCTCTATTTCTAACATTTACCACGCAGCGCTTTTTGAATGCGTAAAGATAGTAACAGTTTATACTTATTATGATCAAAAAAGTAGTAATTAAGAATTTCATTTGTAATTGTCATAATCTCTGATGTTATTTGTAGTTTATTACGTTTTACATGGTTATTGTTGCAATCTACATCATAGATGGACTCGCTAACAGCGAGGTTACCGACATCACACCCATCTCGACATCCGTTTAACAAATCTGGCATATAATACATTTTGAAAAAAAATCAATACTTCTAGGTTGTATGTATCGCCAAATAGATAAAAACGATGACGCGCTCACTCAGATTCTTGCCTCTATTGAAGCAGCGCAATAGGTATTGTCGAAATTATAAAGTGTTCAACAATGCTTTTGTAGGGTGATTTTAATTTTAGCCACATCAGTTATAAATCATGCAATGTTGGTGGTGGTGTAGAAACAACCGCTCATGTAACTGAACATCGTCCCGGTGACATCAAATTCCAAGAGCGTTTTAAAGACTGCTATTGGACTCAACTGGTAACATTCCTAACATACCGCAATAAGAAATAACAATAATGCTTGCAACTCTAAGTAGAACGCTTGACCTCGTCATCATCAATAACACTGATTGTATAATCTTATTAAACGAAGTAAATTTGCTTGGACATACACCAATGGTAAAAGCTCACTGTATTTTAGTCGGTCTTTTGGAAGTACACTTCAACGAGAAGAAACTAACATCTCCTAGTCGCCAATGGCTTATCTGGAGTAAAGCAAATTTCAAAGCAATTTCGTTACATATAACTTCTAAAGTAATACCAATCAATCTCTCTGTAAACAATCCGTACAGTTGGTTTATTGTTTATATATAAACTGCAAATTCCATCAACTACAACTTTATTTAAAAATAAGCAAAAACTTTGGGTTAAACCAAAAGTATTGGAAGCAATAAAATCAAATCGTACAACTTGGGCAAAATACGTTGCTGCAGGTAGAGATTTCCATGCAATATTATGTAATGAACATCATTAGGCATGCAAACACGTGAAAAAACATGAAAGAACATGCATGCAAACACGTGAAAAAAGTGGTCAATGCGGCTGTTCTTCATTACAAAAAATAACCAGTAAGCAATTTCAAGGAACTCCCAAAACGTCTGTACTCACACGTAAAAAACAAGCTCAATGTACATAATCACATTAGTATGCTTGAAACTAGCAATGGTAACATCATCAAAGACTCTAAGTTTATAAGTTCAACGATAAACAAATATTTTTATTCAGTTTTTGTCGAAGAATCCCCAACACCTTTATCAATACTTGAAGAGAGATTAACTTGCGAGAGTTTACAGCTGCTACAGTACAAAACTACGTATTCTGCCTTGAAACTAAATAAATTGGAGTTGACGCAGTACATCCCCGTGTTTTAAAAAACTGCGCAAAAGCTTTTGCAATATCTCTTTCACTCATATTCATGCAATCCTTTTGACCTGGAAATGTCTCAGATCTTTAGCGTAAATCAAATGTTACTCCTATTTTTTCAAAAAGGTAAGAAACTAAAGTTTTATAATTATAGGCCGGTATCTCTCACCTCTGTACCGTGCAAGGTAATAGAGAGAATTATAAAAAAGAGGGTTATGAAACACTGTACACTACACAATCTAATTTCAAAGTCTTGACATGGATTTAAAAAATCACAAAGGTTGCCTTAAAAACCTAATTGAATCTCGTGACATTCTCACGGAGGCAGCTTACCGTCGACACCTTGTTGACATAATTTTTACAGACTTTGCCAAAGCTTTTGAAACAGTGCCAAAAGACTCCTTCACAAGATTCAGGCCTATGGTATTAGAGGCCAGCTATTCCACTTGATCTCAGCTTGGCTAAATGAAAAAAAACAACGTGTAATTATTGGGGAACAAAATTCCGAGTGGAAAAAAGTGGAAAGTAGAGTCCCTCAAGGATCAGTAATTAGATCACTCCTATTTGTGCTCTTTGTCAATGACTATCCAGATGGCACTAGCAGTTATACCAAGTTATACGCCGATGATAGGAAGATCATTGGAATTATAAATAATAATTAATCATCCTCTGATTAAGAAACACTGCAAATGGACATTGACAGCGCTGTAAGTTGGTCACATAACTATCTTATGCATTTCAACATCGAGAAGTGCAAGGTAATACACGTTTATTGCCACAAAATAAATCTACACATAACTACAACATGGCTGACATCTATGGTAACTGACATAACCTAATATAAATTCCAACATGCATTGAGAGCGACCTTGGGGTACTAATATCCGACAACCTCAAAGTGAATGCACAAGTAGAAGCAGCGCTTCGGCCGGAAATCTAACTCTTGGTCGCCTAAAAAAGACATTTTAATGCCGTATCCTCCAGCTTTTGAAAAAGTTGTACCAGCTATACGTTTGACCACACCTAGAGTTTGGTCTCCGTATCTTAAATCGGATATCGTCCTTTTCTAACGTATGCAAAAATGTATTATACTGCTATTCAAAATTGCTCATCAGTTACAAGAAGTTAAGTTTTACATACCACAAGTACAGCCTTTCTTATTAAACTTACGCTATAATCTGAGAAGAAACAGCCAATGTTTAAAACCACAACTGATCAAAAGTTATTCAGAACGTCAGCACTTCTTTACAAACCGTGTTACTAACCGATGGAACAAATTATCTCAGAATGTAGTTGATATACCTTCAGTACACTTTTTAAAAAAATACACATTTATCATATTGCTTCGGCAGCAACAATGTCCATCGTCAGCATAGGAATGCCTGGTGTGCTTCTCTTCATCAATTCTAAACATCATATGTGGATGTTGTATTGATTACTGTAATGAATAGATTTTTAAAAAATGTCGATTTAAGATTTTTCTTTAACTTTTTTCGCTACATCTGAAGTTATCTTTTTAAATAACCCATTAGTATAACGCAACTTTTTAATCCTCTATAGGATTAGGAGAAAAACATGTTCACATGCAACTTTTTCACTAACAATTCTTTTAAAACATTTACTAATTAAAACATTGAAAAGTTTTTCGGTTATAACACCTTAAAGTTTTTACATACTTGTGAAACTACTGTATTTAACTCTGCAATTTTTAATAACTCTTTTGATGTTTTTTTATTTGTAAAGAGTTCATTTTTTAATTTGTTTTTCGAACTATAAATATATATATATCTCATATGTTTCTCTAATTAAATTTTTTGCCGATGTCTTTTTTTAACTCAAGGTTTGAGAATAAATACATTTCATCTTCTATTTTTTTCAACAACGACTGCTTTTGCATGGAGTAGAAATGAAATTCCCATAGGGCTTATGAAAATGTTACCAAAATTCACAATTGCATCAATTTTACACCTCTTCTCAATAAAATTTTCAATATTTTGATTTAAAATTTTTTCCTCACTTACTTTTGGTAATTTATATCATGTCCTACCACGTACTAAGTAAAGTTCTCTTTTATCATAAAATTTAGTTTTATCCATGCTAGGTAAAATTCGTGTAACTGCGGTTCCCTCATACTTTTTAACAATGTTAACAATTTTCGGATTAGGAAGAACTATTACACTATTTAATAAAGTGTTGTATTCTGTTAAGAAACATTTTACTAATTCATCCGCTATTTGTGTAGTAATAAGTACTTCACCCGCTTTCATAGAGTAAGCAATATCTTTTACATTATTATTTTTTTTAACCCTTTCTAAATACTCTTCACCACGCTTAAGACGCTGTTTTATTTCACTAATAAAAGCTTCATTCAAACTAGAAAAAGCTGCATAATTATTACTCATTGCATAATTATTATTTTTTACAAATTAAGATTATTGGTCTATTTTTCTAGATCATTTTTACTAATAACACGTCCTATATGAGTCTTATCGTACATTGAAATCAAATGTCCTGAAACTTCTATAGGGCCTGTAAATGTTACACTATGGCTTTTCACCAAATAACTCTCCATACAGGGCCGTCCCGAAAGGGGGTTTTCGGGGTGTCCCAATCCCCCTGTCGGAGCTGTCATATAAGAATTTGAATTGGCACATTGAGCAAGTTTTGAACCATAGTTGGCAAATTGCAAATATTGAGAAGCTTTTTTTTTTTCTGTGTTTTTAGTTGGCAAAAAAATACATACAGCCCCCTATGGAAGGCTTCTTTGGGTTTCTTCATATATATAGAAAGCGGTTGATAAAAAAAAATTTTGATAAGAGGAAAAAATGTATACGAAAATGATTTTTAATGAAAGAGATATTGTTAGCCATTTATCTGAACTGAAAAACAATAACAAGTGGACTGGTGAATACCTTAAAATTTAAATGGAATTATTCTAAAAAAGGTAATAATGACATTATTTTTATCAATTGATAGTACTAAAAAATAGAGCAAAAAAAATTTTCTGAGAAGGTTGCAAAATGATTACTAATGAGAGGGTTAGGACTGAGGGTGGGTGACGTCAAAAAAATCCCGATAAGGGCAACGTCAAAATATAATACAATAAAATGTTGTAAATTTATGATACTTCAAATCACTTTTGATTATTTTAATAAGTAAAAGATGATTTGCAATAATTTATGGTGTACTATCGATAGCAACACATCAGCAAACTTGGTTGACTACTTAGAAAAACTAGCGCGCAAGAATTTTGTGGGTTTTACTAAAACCGAGCGTGCTTTAAATCTAGCGTGCTTTACACAGAAGTGTAACAACTCTTTATTGGATTATCAGAAACAGCTCGTGCGATTAGGAAATATTTGCGCAAAGCATATTATTTTCGAAGTTAAATTATTTTGGAGGTTAAATTACTTTGCGGTTTAACTTTTCTAAGTAACGATATTGTTTTTTTAAAAAAAAAAAATTTTTCATTATTATTACTTTTTTTATTATTATTATTTTATTTTTTTACATTATGGAAAAATAAAGTTTTAATACTGGTGATTTATACCATTTCCCCAAAAAGTTATGCGTTTGAAAATCGTCATACGGACTAGCTTCTGTACCAACCGGGTTTTGAAAAGCATGTTGAATCGTGAATACAACAACTGAAAATTAGTTCAAAATATTAGTTCAGTTAAACAGATGCTTAAAAGGATTTTAAAAATAAAATCAGAAATTTATTAGAAAAAATAATAATTTTTTCAAACTATTATTGTGAAAACTTTAATTTACTTGTTATTTTTGCTGCAAAAACGGGTAGGTTCTTTACAACATCCATCTTTGGTGCACGAAGGAGGTAAAGCTAAATAATAATCGGAACTTATTTACTAAAATTACAAATGTGAATTAATTATTACATTAGTAAAATAATATTATTTTATACTATTTATAAAACAACGAAAATTTCAAGTTGACAAAATATTCAAAAGACTTTTATATGATGAGTCCGTACATTAAAGTATAAAAAGTTACTAATTTAGTAAACTTGATTCTGTACTTCACTGTACTTTACTTAATACGGTAACTTTGTTATTAAATCAAAATTTTTATTTGCTAAAACAAAACAAAATTAATAAAAAACTGTCGAAGTATTATATAAATAAATAGTTTTTAATTTTAAGAAAAACAAAATATAATACTTTTGCCGAGTTTTATAACTTATCTTATCATTAAAATTAACTTTTATTAAAGTTTATTTAATTTATTCTATTTTAAATTAAATTTAAAAATTAAGCAAACGATTATTTTTTATTACTTACTTTTACAGGTACATGTCTTGCAACCCTTTTGATCAAGTACTTGTCCGTAAGCACATTTTATTAATGGGCATTTAAGTTTTGGACATTCTGGCTTAAATGTTTCATCTTTGAGTGAATATAGGTCAGCCACGCATTTTGGTATTTCTATATAAATATTTTTCATAAAGTTTTTATATAAATATTTTTAAATAATATAATGTCAACTTAATATGTATGCATGTGTGTATGAATGTATGTATGTATGTATGTATATATGTATGTATGTATGTATGTATGTATGTATGTATGTATGTATGTATGTATGTATGTATGTATGTATGTATGTATGTATGTATGTATGTATGTATGTATGTATGTATGTATGTATGTATGTATGTATGTATGTATGTATGTATGTATGTATGTATATGTGTATGTATGTATGTATGTATGTATGTATGTATGTATGTATGTATGTATGTATGTATGTATGTATGTATGTATGTATGTATGTATGTATGTATGTATGTATGTATGTATGTATGTATGTATGTATATGTGTATGTATGTATGTATGTATGTATGTATGTATGTATGTATGTATGTATGTATGTGTGTATGTATGTATATATGTATTTATCAAGCTTTATATATGCTTAAGCTATTTTGATTATTTGTTTAAAATAATGAAATATCTTTTTACCGTAGCAACTACAAGTCGGACACCCTCTTGCATCAAGAACGTTTCCGTTTTCACAGTAAATCATACATACTGGGCCACATTTTGGTTGATCTTTGAGAAAAAAAATATATTTTCTTATTTTCCTATTATCTTTTCACTACATATATATATATATATAAAAATCTCTTACTATTACAACGACAAGTAGGACATCCATTTCCGTCAAGTACATACCCGTTCGGGCAAAACATTCTGCACGTTGGTCCGCATTTTGGTCGACCTTAATTACAAGTTATTATTATTTAGCTTGTTAGAAAATTTTTTAATAAAATACATTTTCTAGAAATATAATGACGGTTTATACATATTACCGTTAAGTCTGTATTATTCTTTTTGACACATTCCAGTTGGTCGCCGCATTTTTTCATATCAAACATCGCCTCTCCGCATTCTTCACCAGCAGCCTGAGCACAAATATTACAACAACCACAAATGTCTCTGACTATTCCGGCTATAAAGGAAAAGGAAAAAACTAATATACATTTTTAAATAGAGCATTTCCTCTTTTTCTTCGAGAATATAATTGGTTTTAAAATCTTGGATTTGATAAACAACATAATATCATTGCTTTTATAAAAAATACTCTCAATTTTTCATTCCTACAAAATTGGGCTTCGCCTAATAATTGATAAATTCTTTTAAGAATTATTTAAAAACTTTTTAAGACACAATGGCCTCGCTTGTCAAGTTTAAATTTATTTTTGCATATTCTTTTCCATTTATGTGTAATTAATTAACCGTTAGTGTATATATAGCTGTGGCATACTGGTTCAAAGAGCTCGTGTAGAATTTTTTCTAAACCCGTATAAAATTGACTATTTTATACGGGTTTTTACCATACAAGCGGGATTTAAGGGTTCATTAATATGTAAAGGTTTCGTTTTATAACAGATGTAACTTAGTGTAAACTAATTAACGTTACTTTGCGTTAAAAAAGAGCTGGTTTTTTCAGAACTAACTTTATTGCTTAAAAATGAAAACACTTAAAACGAATATCAAGTGTCTATGCAAAAATGTAAAAATTAAAAAAATATGTCGAAAAATCATTTAATTTTACGAGCAATATTTTTATTGTACATAAAAATCTTTTTTAATAATCAAATTTCTCTTAATTAAATAATTTCATTAATGCAAATTCCCAACTGAACGTCAGGATCGCTCTTATTTATTACAATTGTTAAAACTAATTTTTGTCACGCAATAACAAATATTTTTAAAATTATTTTTAAGGCCGATGATTGATTGATTGATTGAATAGATTAAATAAAAAAAAGCAATTGCTTTTACTCAGTTCAACTTTACGTGAACAAAAGTTTGAGCAAAATCGCAAAAAATTTTATTCACGTAAAGCTAACTTTACGTGAATAAAAATTTGAGCAATTTTGCTTAAATTTTATTCACGTAAATTGAACTATTACTCCAAAAATGCAGAGTAAAGTCCATTGATTTTTTTTATTTACCCTGCCTAAATGCATTTTGTTTTGCAAAATACTAATATACTAGCGCTGAAAGTTTAACGTCATAAATCAGGAAATTAAAGAATTTAATTTGTGAAAGCATAAAAAACTGAATAAAAAGTTATTTGTTGCTTATTAAAAGAATAAAGTTATATAATACTTTTTTAAAAAAGATCCTTTTAAGATAAAAAGTATATATAATGATGGATTCTCGCATAACTTTTAAACATAAAACCTCTGGGGCCAGCATACCACAGTGTTTGTCTACAAAAAGCACAAAATGTATAACACATATATAACACATTGTGTGTTTATAATAGATTGTATAAATATTAGGGTGACCATTGTCCCAGTTTTTTTGCAGGAGAGCTAATTAAAATTAGTTTAGCGCTACGCTCTCCTACATAGAAACCGGGACAATAGTCACAGTATATACAATGTTATAATACATTGTAATATATACTTTTCCGAAGTATTATACATTGGGAAAATACTTAATGTGAAAATAAAACAATGTGTTTAACTTTTAAATATAACTGAAAATAGTATTTACCTTTACATCCATCTGGAACTTTGCATTTTACCAAAGCACAATTGCATGAGAGTGCCATTGATGTGCAGCAAACAGAGAAAAACAAAAACAAAGCAAAAATGAAATGTTTCATTTCTTTTTTTATATTTTTCTGAAAAGAACGAAATTATTTTAGTTGATTATAACAATTAATAAAATACACATTCATCTTATAACATATTTGTAACAAATGTGTAAAAATTTTTCTTATACAAATAACAAGACATCTCTCGTAAAATTTTCGTTGAAAATTAAAATCATTTTTGATGTCTTTTTATATAAAAAAATAAAATGACCATTATCTACCTATTTTTATTGTTAATTTTTATTTATAATTGGAAAAACTTAATGATTATTCATAATAACGTAAATCCGTTGAAAATAAATTACCTGAACTATTTTTATTACAATATCTAGTTTTTTTGTTATTAGAACAACTTAATGATTATTCATAATAACGTAAATCCGTTGAAAATAAATTACCTGAACTATTTTTATTACAATATCTAGTTTTTTTGTTATTAGAACAACTTAATGATTATTCATAATAACGTAAATCCGTTGAAAATAAATTACCTGAACTATTTTTATTACAATATCTAGTTTTTTTGTTATTAGAACAACTTAATGATTATTCGTAATAACGTAAACCCGTTGAAAATAAACTACCTGGACTATTTTTATTACAATATCTAGTTTTTTCTTGTTATTAGAACAACTTAATGATTATTCATAATAACGTAAATCCGTTGAAAATAAATTACCTGAACTATTTTCATGACAATATCTATTTTTAAATATATTCACCATTCAAATTTAAAAAACTTCTTTTTTTAAATATTAAAATAGCTATGATTTTGTATTAGCTATACATGTTACCAACGGTTCTGCGTTGGCGAGTTATTAGTAACTATTGACAAAAATGGGAGGGGCGATTTTCCATACTTGCTCCTTATATTTAGGAAATTATCTAGTATTAAAAAAATTTAAAAATACCAAAAGATGTATTGCTACAATAGCTGCTTTAATAATAATAAAATTAAATAATAAAAGTTTTTTATTAAATGAAAAATGCCTTTTTTGAATATTTTCAATAAGAAATACCTTATTAATAAATTTTTAAGATAAGATAAAATTTAATAAATCATATTTTAATCTAATAAGTTATATTTATCAAAGCCTAGAGTACCCCTCCATCACTTAATTTTTTTTTTTTTTATATACAGTATTGGACAAAACAAGTGCAACCAAATAATGCTAACTTAGTTTCTTTATATGAAAGAGCTGCATTTTTTTAATTTAAAGAAATAACTATGTAATTGTTTAGTAACAACGTTCTTTAAATTTTTTTCATCACAAAGTTCATTATTTGCACACGAAAATTAATAAATTAATCAAAAGTATTAAAAAAAGTTGATTTCCTTTTGGACAAAACAAGTGCAACTCCACAAAATGTTGACCAAGCTGTATTTCGCTATCAATATTTCGTGGCGAATTCTTTGTTGTCGATCACAGCCTTGCATGTTCGATACATAGATTCGATCAGGTGATCAATGAAACTTTGTAGATTTGCTGCCCAGGCCTTTTGGATTTGTTCAAACAGTTGATCTTTATTACGAACACCTTCACGATTAATTCTGCGGTTGACAATCTCCCACAGGTTTTCGATAGGGTTGAGATCCGGAGATTGAGGCGGCCAATCCATTACCGATAGGTGGTTGTCTTGAAACCACTGCTTGATTACTTTTGCAGTGTGTTTTGGATCGTTGTCTTGCTGAAAAACCCATTTTATTGGCATATTCCATTCAGCATGAGGTAACATAACATCTTTCAGGATATTTTTATACATGAAACGGTCCATTATTCCATTGATTCGATGTATTGGACCTAGACCGTTAGCAGAAAAACACCCCCAGACCATTACATTGCCTCCACCATGCTTCACGGTCTTATGGCAGTAACGCAAATCGAGGCGTTTTCCGGCTGGTCGACGTACACGGCAAATGTCATCTCTCCTAATGATGTTGGACTTAGATTTATCACTGAACAGGACAGTTCGCCATTTCTGCACATTCCAGTCAATATGAGATGTAGCAAACAGGAGACTTTTCTTTTGGTTCTTTAGTGAAATTAGCGGTTTCTTTGCAGGGCGTCGAGAAAGCAATCCAGCTTTAACAGCACTTTGTCTGATTGTTCTGTCCGATACAGGCAGCTCTTATTGCTTTTGTATCTTGACTGATGATATCCAGGGATCCTTCTTTACGGATATGACGATCATAGAATCCTCTCTAAAAGTGGTGGAACAGGGTCTTCCACTTTTTTTATCTGCTGCCAACTTTCCTGTAGAGCGATATTTGGAACATAGTCTTGATACGGTCCATTTTTTCACGCTATATTTAGCAAAAATACTTTTTTGTAACATTCCACTTACGTAATCGCCAATAATTTTCTTTCTTAGTTCCAATCTAAGACTGTCGGCAATGTTCATGGTTTTGAACAGTAACTTTGTATCAAAGTGATTGAATAATAGGTTAGCATTGTCAGCATACATTATAGACGATACTTTAGATGAAGCTTTACGCATATCATTGATGTAAATTAAAAATAATAAAGCCCCGGGATTGATCCCTGAGAAACATCACTCACTTTATAAAGAGTTCCTGAGTTTTGCTCCATAACATATTATATTCTGTTGCAAAGCTAGTTTTCGATCCACTTTTAAATCAAATCAAAAATCCCGTAAAAATCTAGTTTTGCAAGTAAAATACTGTGATCTACAGAATCAAATGTTTTGGAGAGATCAATGAGTTCTCCATTAATTCACCTTTGTGAATTAATGAGTATTACTTTCACATTGAATAATTAATAACGATATATTATAAAGGAGATTTAGTCAGATGGAGAACTGTTTTTCTATTCGAAATTTATCGTGTTGGATAAGTTTTTAAATAAATTTAGGGATTCAACAAAGCGAGGAGTCAAAATAATTATCTTTTAAAAAGTTGTCTTCAAAAAAGAGGTCAAAAAGACGTCAATCGATTGTACATCTTTAATAAGACGTGAAAAGACGTCTTTTTTTATCAATGACCTTTAAAAAAAGAAATTAGAAAATTTTCATTTAAATGTTAAACTAAACAACACCCAGTGGAAATTTTTTTTCTTTAGGAAGGGGGAGGGGAAAATTCACTAACGTTTCCCACTGGGAAACAACTTAAGTTGTTAATAAGTAAATCATAATTTGCTTATTATAATTATAATAAACAAATTAGTATTTGCTTATTTTAATTATTATAAACAAATAAGTACATGCTTAAGAAAATTGAAAGTAATTATTACCAATAGAACCTAATAAAAATGGGTTTTAACCCACAGTATCGTAATTACGATATCTTTGTTACGTTCTGATTAGCCCGTTTTTGTTTACAAAATACTTTTATAAAAATTTTTAATGTGAAACGTTTTTGCATAGGAAATATAATTAAAAATCAACTTTTTTCGGTAAGCGGGATGATTTTTTAATTCATGTAGTAAAGTAATATATTATGTAAAATCTACATAATATATATGCTTATATATATTATAGTATATATATATATATATATATATATATATATATATATATATATATATATATATATATATATATATATATATATATACATATATATATATATATATATATATATATATATATATATATATATATATATATATATATATATATATATATATATATATATATATATATATATATATATATATATATATATATACATATATATATATATATATATATATATATATATATATATATATATATATATATATATATATATGCATATATATATATATATATATATATATATATATATATATATATGCATATATATATATATATATATATATATATATATATATATATATATATATACTATAATATATATATACATATACATTATAGTATATATATATATATATATATATATATATATATATATATATATATATATATATATATATATATATATATATATATATATGCTTATATATATTATAGTATATATATATATATATATATATATATATATATATATATATATATATATATATATATATATATATACATATATATATATACATATATATATATATATATATATATATATATATATATATATATATATATATATACATATACATATATATATGTATATATATATATATATATATATATATATATATATATATATATATATATATATATATATATATATATATGTATATATTTATATATATATATATATATATATATATATATATATATATATATATATATATATTTATATACTATAATATATACTATAATATATACTATAATATATACTATAAAATATATATATATATATATATATATATATATATATATATATATATATATATATATATACAATTGCAGCTGTTTAGCTAGAAAATGTTAATGTGAAGAAGCAAAAAGTGGTTGGCGTGGTGTCAGTAAGATGGTATCGATATGATCTAGTCTCAATTAAGTTAGTCGCAGGTAAGTGTTTTAAAAAGTTTTACCGTTTATTTTTGGACTAATTTTTTAATGTGTTGTGCTTGAAGAACTTTGTTTATTACATATTAAATTAAAATTCTTATTTTTAGAGAAAAAATAAAACCTATAAACAATTTCTGTCTGTATTTACTTGTTCAAGTGCCAGTGAAACGAACAATAGAAAAGAAGAAGCATTCAGTAGGCTTGCAATTTTTAAGTGATCTGAATAATTTTGTTGTTTTTATTTAGTTGAATGATGAAATTGTTTATGCAAAAGATTGGCTTTTTAATTTTTATGTCAAAGTTGTTATTTCCTTGTTAACTGTTGTCTGTCGTTAACAAAGCAAGTAAAAAAATGCTCATAATGACAGCAGATTTATCTTAAGAATTCTTTGCAAAACTTTTGATTTAGATACAAAAGACCAAATGAAAATGATACTGGAAAGGTACACTTTCTTATATCTAAATATCATTGCAGGTTTCTAGTCTACATTTTTGTCTATGTGTATATATCTGTGTTGCTAATGATTTCGCCAGTTTTTATGATTTTATGTTGTTAAGTAAAGCATCATTATGTCTCAGGCTAAAATAGAGCTTTGATTAATACTTTTATTCAGTTTAAATGAATAACAACTCTCAAGGTGTATTAGCTGAATTATATTTTTGTTTTGATAGTCTTTAGTCAATAACGGATTTTTAAATTGTTATGAGTCTACAACACTTAATTTCAGTGAAATTCAATTAAAAAGCCACGTCATAAAAGACAGAAAAATATCAATATCTGTTTTCAATAAGTTGGCTTTCATAGCAAATCTGAGAGATGCAAATGTTTAGTTTGGTTTAAATACTACATAATAAAATACATCGTTGTACATTCATTTTGAAGGTCGTAAATTTCTTTAGCACACTAATTTTTATATATTTTTAGACTGTTAACCGTTTGACTACTGTCCCAATCTAACCTAGTGGGTTCAAAAAGAAAGGACCGCGCTGCAAACATAAAGGGGTTAAAAAGATAAGCCCTTTTTGAATTAATAGTTGGTAAGTCTAATCTGTTTCACTCAGCATATCAAGTATCATTTGCTTTTTTGTATTACATTCAAGGAATAGACTTTTTTTTATGTTAACTCGTTTTTAAGAAGTCGTAACTAGCTCGTATGAAAGGATTTCTTGACATGAAATAGTTAATTTTGTTCAACTACACCAAGAATCAGAGCTCGCTCAAGAAACAGAAAAGAAAGAGAAAGATGACAAAATATTCTGTTGAACAATGCAGTTGTTTTATTTATAAATTATTCTTCTATGTTTAAACATATAAAAGATGTAGAAAATGTTTACTCTTTTATATCAACATCTACAAGAGATTTCTTTCTCGGCATCGGAAAGAGCTTTTTGTCATACTTTGTATGAAAAGCTACTATCATTTTCATTTGATAAAAACAGCTTTTGATATATAATATATAAAATATATAAAAAGTAGGAATACTATAGTGTATAGGAAATTATAGCATACTAATAAGTAAGACAAAAAAGTCATTCTGACCCTGAGAAAAAAAACTTTTTTAGAAGTGCATCATTGATAAACAAAGACGTCTTAAAAACGTATTTTTTAAGTCTTTTCATGATGAGATAAAGGCAATAAAGATGTTATTTCGATATCGAAGAAAGATGTCTTTTAGATTTGCATATTCGACTTAAAAAAGGCGTCTTAAAGACATCGTTAATTAGACTTCTAAAGACGTCTTTTCGACGTCTTTAGAAGTATAATTAACGATGTCTTTTTCGACTTTTTTTCCCAATTTTCGACGTCTTTTTCCCCTTATAAAACATACACTTTTTGACTCATTCATAGATAGAACATCTCAAGCAATCAGCAATGTAGTTGCATAAGATTTGCTTATTAATCCAAAGCCGTAACTAAGGGCTTCTAACATGGCTTCGAATAGCTTTAATTTTGACACAATTTTTTTATATATATATATATTGAATGCAGCGATTTCAAAGTCGTTAGACAAATCGTTTTCAGTCAAATAATTATAAAAGATATTATATACTCTTCTAAAAGTCTCTTTAAACAGCGGTTACTCGGCAAACATATTAGGCTCTTTGCAATAGGTTTCAATTTTAAAATAATTTTAATAAAAACAAATTAAATTTTTACAACTTTAATAATGTTTAAATAACTTTGTTTAACAAAGAAAAAAAAGATTAAATGTTCGTAAAATTATGAAGAGCATTTGTGTTAACATAAACGATTTAATTCCATCCGGGTCGAGAATAGCAGTTTGAATCGTGTATACAACAGCTACATTAAAAAAATATATATATAATTTATATCATAAATTTGATTTTAAATAAATATTTACTACTTTGATTTAATCTTGTTTAAAATATTGAAGTCTTGTTTAAAATATCGAGTTTAATAGAATGATTTTAATAGAAAAACAATTGCATAATTATAAAAAAAGCTCCATTTCACAAATTAAAAATAAAACATTGATGTAAATATCCTACGGTTTTGACAATTTAAAATTACCAAAGGTTTATAAATATAAAGGAAATCATTAAATTATTAATAAATGATCATTACGGCATTTTACAAAAAAAGTTTACTAAAAAATATGAAAACCAATAACCAATAAACATTTTTTTTACAAAACATGCCAAAAATACAGCTGTTGTTTGATGTAAAACTTATGACATGTTATGCATGCAAATGCAAAACACGTCAAAAAGTTGAAAAGTGTAGCGCTACACATTTCAACTTTTTGACGTGTTTTGCATTTGCATGCATAACATGTCATAAGTTTTACATCAAGTTTTACAATAAGTTTTACATTAAGTTTTACATCAAGTTTTACAATAAGTTTTACATTAGCTATAGCTAATATGCATGAATACAAGAAATTACGTCATGTTAACTATGACGTTTTTTAAACCTTTTAGATCTTTTACATAGACAGTGACGGGTCCAGGAATTTTTTGGTTGTATGTTGAAATTTTTTTGTATTTTGTACCACATTACGTCTCCACAATAAATTTAAAAAAACACCTCAATTCCTCAAGATATTTTAGGACTTTTTCATTCTGATTGTGGGGGGAGGGGATGCATACCCCATCATTTCCCCAACCTCCCTTCCTTCGCCTGGATCTGTCACTATACAGAAATTTCGTTTGTTTTCCGGCAGCTTTTATTGAGATATTTTTGTAATTATTAATTTAGATTTATTTAAAGTATGTAACTGAAATTTGTATGGCAGAAATTTCATTCTTCCATTTTTTTTATAAATCCAAAAACGCTTTACGATCAATAAATTTTGACCTTAAATCGCAAGTTAAATGGAAATGAAATAGGGAAAAACAAATAGGTTTTAGGTTTTTTATTTACAAAGTGTCTTATTTTAAGTAGAATGGCAATACTATTGGTTATCAGGGACGAGTTTTATTACTCATTAAGGGGAGGGGGGATAATTAAAGTTCAAACACTTACCTAGCCATATTTTATCTATAACATTTTAATTAACATAAAGGGTCGTTTTTAAATTGCGTCACACTCAAGGGGAAGGGGTTAATGGTTTTGTAAAGACTTATACAGAACTTGTTGCAAAAGCGTTACAATAGGGGTCATAAATGGTCAAAGTTGCTTGAAGTAATTTGTGGACGATACTTAATATGGTTTTACGCATTCTCTTGCGTTCTTGTACATCTCAAACAATTTTGGGAAAATTTACCTGCTACACTAAGCTTATTAAGACTATTAATTTTTATTTATTATTAACAAAATTATTTTACCAGAAACCATCTTTATAATTGAAATACAGGAGAGTCCGTGAAGTGAGATTGATTTAAGTATCGTTTTACTTCTTCGCCTTTTTTAACTTATGTTGAAAAAGGTTAGATAAAATCAGTTAGATAAAAACAGTTCTTTTTAACTAATCAATATCTTGTATTCTTTTTTTAAGTCTTTGAGTTTAAATAATATTCAATATCCTCAATAAAAGTTAAAGGTTCTAAAGCAGTGTTTCTTACTCGGGTAAAACTTTAACCGTTTCCCGGGTAATTTGCAAGTTTTTTCTTACGTGTTACCCGGGTATTTTTTCAAAATTACCTGATTAATTTCAGGTAATTTTAAATTTTATAAGTTTTTCAAAAGTTATTTCCGTAAAATGAATATTTTTGGCAGTGATCAACATAGTGAAGACTGTATAAAAAAGTTTTATAATATAAACCCACCTTTATTGAATTCGTTAAGCTTTCCAGCTTAGTCCGTAACACTTAAATAAACACTAATGCAATGTAAACAAATTAAAATAGAGATTTTCAGCGTGTAAAAGATTTAAAGTGAATTTAATGTTTAAATTTAATTTATTTTTTATTAAACGCTTATAAACGTTTTTTAAGAAGAAAGTTGTTTATAAGATTACAAGATGATAAGAATATATATATATATATATATATATATATATATATATATATATATATATATATATATATATATATATATATATATATATATATATATATATATATACATATATATATATACATATATATATATATATATATATATGTATATATATATATATATATATATATATATATATATATATATATATATATATATATATATATATATATACACACACACACACAATTTTTTTCAAAATAAGAAACTAGTATAAACTAGCCTTAAAATCTCAAGAAACTATTAGTACAAAATTATTTTTTTAGCAAAAAACTTATTTTATTCAGAGTTCGAGTTGTAAGTTTGAACCTATATACCGCATTAACATAAGTAAAAGTTAGAACCTAGCATTATCTACAATAAAGGTTAACAGTTGAATTGAGTATTTAATTTGAATGTTCAATCAAATGGAATTCTGTTCGAAATTTTCTTAGGAATCTTTTTTTTGTTTAAAGTCGATTAAATTGAAACATCACTAATAATTCACATTAAATAACTTAATAATAATAATAATAATAATAATAACAATAATATTAATATTATTATTATAATATTTTTAATGTTATTATTTTATTATTGTTAATAATATTAGGTCAGCTATAAATATTAAGTCAGCTATTTTTTTGTATTAAGTGAAATTTTGTTGGCGTTTAACCATTGACAGAGTTTTTTAGGCTCGCAGCTGAGAAATTTGTTACTTTTTTTTGCGTTGTCAGCAAACTGTTATACTCTGTAGAGTTTTAACGTTTTAAGCAAATCATTGATATGAATATGAAACAGAAACACTTAACTACAATAGGTTTGTGCAGTCAACAAAGTGTTGTACTCTATAAAATTTTAACGCTTTAAACAAATCATTGGATATATAAGAAAGTGGACTAAGAACAAATCCCTAAGAAATTTCTACTAGTGTATTATTTCAGTTTAAGATTGGACTCTCAAATCAATGTGTTAGAGTAAGAGGCTACTCTAGAAAAATAATTTATGCGGCGGTAACCCGTGCTGGAGCCTGCCGTAAGAAAGTTTTGCGGAAACATTGCTGTGTATAGGTATTTTTTCGAAAAAAAAATAGTTGCCGTAAAAAAAAAGGGTCTAGAATAGACCCAGTGAATAAAATGCAAAAAAATGTGAAAATTTCGGAATTTTCTTCTGAGTAAAGTTTCTTTACTTTCTTTGTCCTGTGCTGACTTTTCTAAAAGAAGTCAGCACAGGACAAACCTCAATCTTAAAATAATATGGCTATATATAGATAATACGGCATAACATTTAAATTAATTTAAATGAAGTTTTTGTATGCTACGAAAATTTGGAAAACAACGACAGAAATGTTTAAAGAATGCACGTTGAAAATATTTTACGTAACCGTTTGAATGAGGGCAAGTCGCTCAGCAAATGTTGTCTTACGAAGCATTAGATTGCAAAATGTTTCTTAAGATTCTCTTTTGAGACTCCTAGATTTTTTTATAAAGAATTTAGAATCTGTTTGTAATGAGTATTGTGTAAGCATATCTGTAAGGGTGTTCAAGTAATGGAAAAAAACTACTCAAGTAATTTTAAGTAATTTTAGTTTTTTTCCAAACAATGAAATATTACATCTAATAATACATTTTCGTATGATATAGATACTATATAGGTATAACAACTCATAACCTAAATAAAATTTCAAGGTAGAACGCTAAAATATAAAATTTCTATCCATTTTTCACTGAAAGATGTATTCAAATTTGTAACAAAGTAAAAAAAAGTCTAGAGCACAAAAGCATCTTTTTTTAACAATTTTTTTTTTAATTTTGTTTAGCTAAATACAGAATTTAAATCTTTAAATACAGAAACAAAATATCTTGTTTCATTCTAACCAGCAAAAAAAAAATACTAAGCATGCTACGATTTCTAAAAATTGATAACATAAACAGATTTAATGGTTTCATAACTGAAACCATTAAATTTCTCGGGATAATTATTAATGAAGAGATTTCTTGGAAAACCCATATAAAAGCATTAAATACAAAAATATAAAAAAGTATCGCATAATTTACATAGTCAAACCTATACCTTTCCAGGAGAATCTAAATGTTCTCTATTTTTCTTATATACAAATATATTTAACATATGCTAATATTACCAAGGGAAGTACAAATAAATCTAAACTAAATTCTCTATATATACACCAGAAACACGCATCAAGATTTATTTATAATAAAATTAAATTCACTCATGCCGTTCCTTTATTAAAAAATTGAATGCTTTAAATATCTATCAAATTAATCTATAACAAGTTGTTTTAAATAAAATTAAAAAACATCGTTTGTTTAGACATATGTATTTTACAAAGTGTTTAAAACCATAAACTTCCTAATAAATAAGTTTTTTTCATCCAAAACCGATTTCAGCATAATAAGTAAAATTAAAACAAAATAAAATTAAATTTTGTTTATATTGTTGTAGCAATGAAAAGAAAACCCTTATTTCATCTAATATCGTCTTCTTTTGAACACAGTACTTTTCTTGATATGTTAAAAAATGCTAAAGTCAATCCTGTTTATAAAAATGGAGATTGTAATAATATGTCTAACTAACGTCCAATATCCCTCTAACCAGTGTTCTCTAAAGTTTATGAAAAAGTAATATACAATTGAATTTATAATTACTTGAATTTAAACAAACTTTTATATGAAATTCAATTTGGTTTTCAAAAAAGATGCTCAACAGAACATACTATCATTGAATTTACTAATAAAATATTTCAATTTTTTGATAAAGGGGATCATGTATTGGAAGCATTTATAGACCTTACAAAGGCATTTGATACAGTTGACCACAACATCTTACTATCAAAATTAAAACATTATGGTATCAAAGACTAATGTATAAATGGGTAAAAAGCTATCTGAGTAACAGAAAGCAGTTTGAAATAAACAAAGACTCAAGTGTTCTTGATATTAAGTGTGGGGTTCCTCAAGGCTCAATCTTAGGACCGCTATTGTTTTTAATTTACATCAATGATATGCATAAAGCATCATCTATAGTATCTTCAATAATGTATGCTGATGACACAACTTTATTTTATAATCATAGTAATTTAAAATCGATGTTCGAAACAATGAATACTGAACTGGAAAACTTTAATTTATGGTTTAGAGCAAATAAACTATCCTTAAACTGTGAAAAAACCAACTACATCTTATTTGATAAAACAGGCCAATCAATGTCTCTACCGTTAAAAATTCCAGAATTGCTCATTAACAACATAACAATAAAACGGGAAAAATATGCAAAGTTTCTTGGTGTTCATATTGATGAAAATTTATCATGGAGAAATCATATTGGACACATTGAAAAAAAAATATCATCTGCAGTAGGTATTTTATATAAATGTCGCCCGTTTCTTGATTTCTGTTCAAAAAAAAAACTTTACTTTAGTCTAATTCACAGTCATCTCCATAGTTTGGGCTAATACACACAAAACAAAATTAATCAAACTACAAGGCTTGCAAAACCATACTTGTAAAGCAATTCATTATCTAGGTAGAATGGACAATCCTTCCAATGCGATGGCAAATAAGAAAGTCTTAAACTTGGAAAAACTTAATTTATATCAGATTCTTATTTTTATGTTCAAATATAAAAATAATATGCTACCAAATTCTTTTTTGAACATATTCTCTTCATTATTTTCTCAAAGTTATAATCTACGATCAAATAGCTTCCATAACTATTATATTAAAGTTAAAGTTAAAGAACATTAGGAACTATTATTTTTATTTATAAAATCTTAAGAAAGTGTTTTATATTATATTGTAACACGTTTTTTTTTTTCAATTTATTACGCTATTTTATATCTTCGGTATAGATTAAGGGGCTTGGTGATAAGACATATTATGCCTTCTTCTTGCCTCTGCTATTTGTATATATGTTATGCTTTACGACTTGAATAAATTTATATGGCAAAAAAAAAAAAAAATGATTTCGACAGGTACCCACAAATTTATAGAAATTAATGTCAGTCGAAGGAGAAGTTTAAAAGAAACTTGTATGTTGTGTTGTAAACTTGTATGTTGTGTGTCCATTGGTTAGGAAGAAGAACTTTAAGTCTTATCACAGAGCACCTTAAAGAAGCATTTGAAAAGAAGTTCACGCCTTCTTCCTAACCGATGTACACATAACATACAAGCTTGCAACACACAACATACAAGTTTACAACAATAAACATACAACATACAAGTTTATTTATTATTCTTTCTAACTCCTTCTTAACCAATGTAGAAAAATTTGTCCAGAGGTGGGTTACGAACCCCGGGTCGCTGAAGTATTTATAAAAGTATTTATAAAATATTAATTTTCTCTTAATGCAGCAAAAAAAATCACTTAATTTTACTTAAGTAATACAAACTTACTCAAGTACTTGATTAGCTTAAATAATTACATAAGTACATAAGTTACTTGAAAAAGCCCTATCTGTATGATGGTTCTATAAAAACTGTTCTAAAATATAAAAATGTTATTAGGTCAAAAATACTGGCAGGTTGGAGCTAGGCAAATAAAAAAAGATCAAAAAGAAGCTAAATGTAAAATTACAACGTTAAAGGTAAAGGTAAAATTACAAAGATAAAAGATTAAATGCTTTAGCAAGAGATATAGGTTTAGAAGATTATTAGTTTTTGAAGTATTTTAAAATGACAAGTGCCAACTAAAACTAATTTACAAAACTTTATATTATAAAAAAATCGTCAAAATTTTTGATTATTAACTATTATAACTAACCTGTTTTCTTTATTGCAAAATCTTGTAGGTATATTACAACAACCTTTATTACATGTTGCAGGTGAACCTATAATGAATTTTTAGATAAAATTTAGTTTTATAAAAGTTATATATTTGCAAAAAAATGACAATTATAATACCGCAGTATAAAATTTTTTTAATAAACTTTCTTTTCTATAAAATAATATTTTTCTTTGATTGCATCGATGAAATTATAGAATATTTTAAAAAATGTTAAAATTATACTTTTGAGTTTCAAACTAAGTCTTATAGTTTTTATTGCATTAGAAATATTTCTTTAGTTATTAATCAAAACTAAATAAATAATAATAATAAAATAGTAAATAAAAATAAAAATGACAATGCCAAAATAATCAATAATACAAATAATAATATTGATAATGATGATCATATCACAATAGTAAAAATAATAGTAGTAAGAAAATCATTAAAAACAACTATAACAATAACAACAACAATAACAACAACAACAACAACAACAGCAACAACAACAACAACAACAAAAACAACGACAAAAACAACAACAACATCAACAATTGCAAACTACTAGAATTTTATTAAATTCAATACTTATTATAGTTATTTATTAGTAGAAGTTATAAACAGTAAAATTTTTAACAGTAAAAGTTATGAACAGTAAAATTTTTAACAGTAAAATTTACCACTTTGTTTATCTACAGTAAGAATGGTTTATAGTAGTTAATAAGTAAATTGATTTACAAAAACTTAGTCACTCAGTTTGACTTACTTCTGCAAGAGCATTTTGAACAACCATTTTCATCAATTAGTAATCCATACGCACACCGAATAGCACATTTAATATCAGGACATGATTTCGTGGTAACCAAACTTTTCTCATAATTTTTTAATGACTCGCATCTAGGTAGATCTGCGTACCAATTTTAGAGTTTTTATATAAATAATATTTTAGTTAAATATAAAACGAATTAAATAAATAAAAAAAATACAAATTAAAAAAGTTGTAACTAGAGATGAATTTACTGAAACAGCTGCAAGTCTGACATCCATTTTCATCAGGTATGTTTCCATATGGACAGTAAATCTTGCACTGTTGCGAGTTGTTCGTTGTGCAAGTAGGTTGACCTTATATATATATATATATATATATATATATATATATATATATATATATATATATATATATATATATATATATATATATATATATATATATATATATATATATATATATATATATATACATATATATATATATATATATATATATATATATATATATATATATATATATATATATATATATATGCATAGATATATGTATATAGATATATGTATTTATATATATATATATATATATATATATATATATATATATATATATATATATATATATACATATATCTATACATACATATATATATATATATATATATATATATATACATATATATATATATATATATATATATATATATATATATATATATATATATATATATATATATATATATATATATATATATATATATATATATATATATATATATATATATATATATATATATATGTATATATATGTATATATATATAATATATATATATATATATATATATATATATATATATATATATATATATATATATATATATATATATATATACATATACATACCTATATACATAAAGTGGCGTAGGAAGGTAAAGAAAGTTGGAGGGGGGTTCAAAAAAATATTAAAAGGGGTTAAGGCAGCTAGAATCAGTGTTTGAATAAAATCTTGACCTAGTACGCTAATACGGAGTTAACTAAGTTTTCTTTTGAAGTTAATTGAGTTTTCTTTGCTCTCCCTCCCTCTCCTAATCTGTTCCTCCGCCAGTATATATATTTATACTTTTGTACGTATATAAATTTTTTTTTCAAGAAAAAATTCTGAAAAAGTTTTATTAAGTTTAAAAAATAATAAATTTAAAAATAAAAAAGTATTTGCTTATACATATTCCTTTTTTTTGGCTGTTTTTATCCTCAGAACATTTAAGTTGATTTCCGCATTTTCCAAACATTTCCCATGGACCTCCACACGATTCACCAGAAATCTTGGCACAAACGTCACAACAATTGCATTTGTCTTTAACTAGCCCTCCTGGAAAAAAAAGAATTATTTATTAAACGATTTTTTTATTACTTAGGGGAATATGAGGAACAATCGATCATGAGGAACATTCCACCTTTTTAAATATTTTCATATGTCAACACGTGTAAAATACCTGCATGGAACTTTGATAAAGGTTTTGCCTGTTATTATAGATGAATACAAGTATCAATCTATTTTTATAGATTTTTTTACTTTAAAAAATTGATTATACAAAATCAATTAATATTGATCTATGGGGTAATATGGTTCTAATCAACATTTATCAGTTTTTCAAACAAAAGGCTTTATAAAGAGGCTTTTCTTTTGTATAGTAGATAGGTGGTTAAAAGACAGCTCTAAATTTCTAAATTCTAATTTTTGATTCAAAGTAAATACTTAAATTTTAAGTACTTACTAAGTAAGTAGTAAGTAAGTACTACTTACGAATACTTACTTACTACTTACTTAGTAAGTACTGCTCAGGGCCGGCGACACGGGTTTCGATGTGGGGGGGGGGCACAACCGTCAATTCTTAAAAAAGTTGTCTATATCTAGAATTTCTTATATTTATAAATAAGAAAAAAGGTCCTTTAGAAAAATAGTGGGGGGGGAAGGGCACGTGCTCCCCTGCCCCGCCTCCCCGTGTCGTCGGCCTTGCGACTTAAGAATATTTACTTACTAATTAATTAGTAAGTACTACTTACAAATTTCGAATTTGAATATTATATATTCAATATGGTGAATTCAAATGTGAGTTATTTTATATATTTAGAGAAAATGGTAAAATATTAAACTACAAAAAATGAGAACCACGAGAGCTCTATATTCTTTGGAAAACAGCTGACAGAGATAAAAAATTATTATTTTGTGTTTCTAATTTGGTGCTATGAATGTGTAAATTCAAATTGAACAAATAACAATAATTATTCGCTTTGTCGGTGTTATTTCAAATCCATAAAATTACGTTGCAGCAGTGTTTCTAAAGGAAATTTTCTTGGAGTTTTGTGCCTCTAAAAGAGATAACTGGTTCTAATATGGCTGAAACTATTCCTAGTAGTTAGACGAGATGCCCTTATTTATCAAAATTTACGCGGTCAAGGTAAATATTTACGCAGTAGAAACAATGATAGAAATAAAATGATAAAAACTAATAGTGTCTAAAAAAGGGCTTTAGATCTCAATCCTCAAGAATGTTTTTTACTTGTTAAGCACATAAATGAAATTTTGCTGTCAATGATGCTTAAAGTGTCCCAAAAAAAAAATTTTTGAAAAATATAGTCAGAGGCCCCCTTAATGTGTTCTATATGATAAAAAAACACTGGATTTAAATTTTTTTTGTAATAAAAAGTATTTTAAGGGGTTCCTCAAGACTCTTGAATATCAAACGGGTCCCTAAAATTATCAAAAAAAAGTTCTATAAAAGCATACCATATTGGGTCTCAAAAGAAGCAGAATTTTTTAAAAATTTTAAAATAATCATTATTTTATGAAAAAATATAGCTAAAGAAATTATAATCATAAAATCTTTTTAATTTCCCTATTTTTCAATTTTAGCTAAAAAAAAGTCATTTTCTGTTCACTAAAATCTAAAATATTAATAATTTTATAAAATGATAACTATTTTTGAAGTTTTTAAATAATTTTGCTACTTTTGAGTACCAAGAAGACATACTTTTGAAAAACGTTTTTCTTATTAATATTAGAGAACCATTAAATGTTGATGGGTCTTGGGGACCCCTAAAAATATTTTTTATTCAAAAATTTATAAAACCAGTGTTTTTTTGTTACATAGAACACATTAAGGGGGTCTCTGCATATATTTTTTTAAATGATGTTTTTTAGGACACCCTGCCGAGCCAGCATTGTGATGCGGGTGCCGTGTGGAACCCGTACGGGATGTCAAATGGGAACTGTACGGGATTTGGCTGCGGGATCTATATCGGTACCATAAGGCCAAATAAAAAAAAGAAAAAAATTTATCGGCTGCTGTTTCATTTTGCTCTATTAACCCCAGATTTTTCCCGGATATATTTTTTTTATTTTTTACTATGTATAACTTAGATTTTTTATGCCTTAAATAAACGACAATTTGTTTAAAGCAATTTTTTTCATTTTAAAGAAATTAAATAATTAATTTAATTATAATAATTTTTTATAAAAGTTTTAAGAGCTAACTGTTTTATCTGCAAATTGAAAACACAAAGCCATATGCTTGATTGTTTTTTTAAATAAAATAAACTGTTATTACATATGTGATCAATATACTACCTACTATATCAAGAAGATATATTTACTAAATCAAATCATAAAATTTTATAGTAATGTATTGAGACTACTTAATTTCATACTTTTTGATAAAATATATTGCAAAAAAAGTTTACTATAGTAACATATTTTTTCAATTTATTTAAGCTAAAGTATGTTTAGGTGCTTCATAAAAAAACTATAAGATTGTTTCATAGTTTTGTTTCTATAATTTTGTTTCACACTATATTTCTGAGTCCACACAAAAAGTGTGGACTCAGAAATATAGGGTGCTGATTTTTTGTCATACCTGAAAGTAGCTTGCCAAATCAAAGCTATTTTAGCAAACTTATTTTTTGTGTGTGTGTATTAAAATTTCTGCTTTTCCACTATATTTGGAATTATAATAGACTAAGAACTTGCTGATGATCATACTTAATATAAGTTTCATCATCTTCAATAATTCAGAAATATTTAGAAGTATAGTTGTCATATAACTTTCTTTAGTAGGTTCTTGCTCTTTTTTTTTTGAATTTCAGAACAATTAGGCACTTTTTGTGATTTGAAAGTTTGAAAAACGTGTTTATATCAAACCTTTACGACAAAACAATGAGGAAATCCTTATGTTTTTGTGCGTTACCTTATTGAGAGGCTTTAATTATTCAAAAAACTGTGAACCAGTTTTTTAACTAGTTTTATTTCTTGAAAATCCTCCTTTCCGGCATTACCAGATTTGCATTTGATTCCCCCATTACCAGATTTGCAACGGCTTGTACCTCAAAAGCAAATAGAATGATGGAGTTGTTGAAAAAATAATTTTCTAAAATATTGACGTTCATATGCTTAGCTACTATTACTTGATAAAAAAAACTGTGAACCAGTTTTTTAACTAGTTTTATTTCTTGAAAATCCTCTGTTCCGGCATTACCAGATTTGCATTTGATTCTCCTATTACCATTATATTTATATGCATCACATGCACCCCGGATGAGACATTTGTCAATAATGGCCTACTACTTACTGAAAACTGTAAAAATATATATACATAAAGATTTTATTGAATATTTACAGTGATTTACAATTTTTTCTTGATTTAAAGACGTTATTGATTAATGAATGGCAAAAAGTAAAGGAAATGTTTTCGCTAAATTTGAATTATTTAAAATATAGCTTAAATTTAGCAATTAAAAACTAATGATTTCAAGGTCATAAACTCCACCGCTATGTTTAAATAAGTGCTTTTAAGCCTTGTCTCACTCGCCACCAGGCTCGTCATTAGGTCATCCTGCCCCCACTCCCCCAGCGAAATAACGGTTGTAGCCTCTCCAGATCCCACTCCACCTTCCCGAAAAAAATAGTATCTATTTTTTTAATTCAATTTTTTTACATAAATATAATTTTTTACAAACATTTTAATATATTGCTAATTAAAATTACTGCATTGTTGCATTGTCCAAAAACGAACAAGTGAATGCTAGCACTGAAAGGCTTTTTTTTTGTCTACTATTAGAATTGCAGCAATTTCCTTTTTTTCAATACCTTTTTGAAGTTTAAAAAAGACTTTTCTCCGTTACAATTTGCAACAGCAGCAGAGAAAAACATACTTTGAACAACATTGACATTAGAGAATGGATTCAAGTTTCTTTGATTTAATAACCAGAATTAAATAAGATGATTTGATTTTTTGGATTCACAAATATTAGTTTCAACTGAATTGGGAACAAAGTTCTAGTAATTCAGTTTTTCATTCAAAATCTAAATGTCCGCATCGATTATGTAAATTTAAAAAGGTTCTTTAGCGCAGGCTGTGATCACAACAGAATCCATATCTAGAAGACGGAAAAAGAATCGAAAACAAGAGAAGCATAAGCTTGTCTTCACCTTTTTATCCCAGTTACAAATTGATCCATGGTCACCTGAAATTATAACCTCAGAAACCATTTTTCCTTTGCCAATAAAGTGTGACACCTCAACAGAAATCAATTTTTCATATTTACGTTTACAGGCTCAACAGAACAGTGACGGGTCTAGAGGGATAAGGTATGTCCATTCTGGATCTGTCACATAGTTTTATTTCAGGCGTGTATAATGTAACAAACAAATTTTCTTTTGCCAACAGATTAAAAAAAATAATTTCTTTGTTTTGTCTCAAATAGATTTTAAAATTAAACAAGTAAAGATAAACTATATCAAAAGCCTTTTTTTATTGGTGTTTATATACTTTTGTGTATATATATATATATGTTATATATATATATATATATATATATATATATATATATATATATATATATATATATATATATATATATATATGTATATATATATATATATATATATATATATATATATATATAATATATGTATATATATATATATATATATATATATATATGTATATATATATATATACATATATATATATATATATATATATATATATAGATCCTGGCCTCTCTAAATGCCCTGGCCCCGCAGCCGCTGCCTAGGCTGGATATGTGTAAGGACGGGCTTGCTTGCCACAAAACTAGCAACGGCATTTTTGATTTTATGAATCAATAAATTAAAAAAAGAGTGGGGTGGACGGGCCTGCATGTGTAAGGACGGGCCTGTGTAAGGATGGGCCTGGCCTGTTAAGGACGGGCTGTAAAGGCCTGTTAAGGACAGGCCTGAATAAGTCCTGCTTGTGTAAGGGCCTGTGTAAGGACTTTTTGTGTAAGGACGGGCCTGTGTAAGTTTAAGGACGGGCCTGCTTGCCATAACACTAGCTAGGGCATTTTTGATTTTATAAATCAATAAATTATAAAAAGGGTGGGGTGGGTTGAATCTGTAAAAGGTCAACTGGTTTCTTAAAAATTAAGAAAAAAGATCCTTAAAACTTAAAATCCACCCGATTAAATTGTATCAAATACCCGACTAGCCTACTAAATTTTTCAAAAAACCGAGTATAACTTGAAAATCACCTTCTTTATGGAGGTAGAACACCCATTTCCCCAACACCCCCTTCCCCTAAAATTGTTTTTGCAAATTTTACACATAAATAAATCTTTGTTTCTTTAAAACACTACAAAAATATTGTGCAATAAAACTTGTTAATTTAAGAAAGACTTTATTCTTTGTGATTCTTTTACATCTTAGTTAAAAGAAGTAAAAACTAGAAATATGCTATCCACAACCTCAAAAGATAAGCCAACTTGGAAAACATCTAGTTTTTGGTGTTTCACAAAAGTAATTTAAGCAAAAGTAACATATAACAACTTGAGCATTTTATTGCTTTTTTAAAAAATACGCAATTTTTAAATTTAAAGTACTGATAACTTTGCTTTTTTTAAACAAAACTGAAAAACCTTTTTCTTTCATTAGATAATATATTGAGTTATTATTAGTAGTAAAAGTTAAAAATATATTTTGGTCGACTTTTTTATTGTTTATATACCTGTTTATGTTTATAGAAGTTTATTCCTACTTATTTTATTTATTATTCTTATACTTTTTAATTTATATGTTGGTTTACTCATGAATAAAACTCTGATGAGAAGATCGTCTTGATCTTTCTTCAGACACAGGTTATTTACAACTGCAATTTTCTAAAAGTTTATTTATTTTTTTTTAATCTTATCTTTGTTAAATGCTTATTTAAGTTTATGACGACAAGATCCTTGCGGTCTTCTTTCAGATACCTTGTTTATATTTGTTATATTTTCTATCATTTTAAGTTTATATTATTATTTTTATTATTGGTCATATAAAGCTCTACAATAACTAACAAATATAAACCAAAAAAAAAAAAATTCAATTGACTATAAAAGTTTGATAAAAAGTAGCGCATTTTTCGCTTGTTGGTCTTTATTATTTTATATTTTTTGTTGAAAAATACCTATATAATACGATGATAAAACACATACTTTTGAAACAAAGAAATGAATTTTATAAAATTATGTAGGTATATTGCAATAAAACTTTTTTGAAAATTTCTCAGAATATTTTTATAGAATATTTTATAGAATATTTTATAGAATATTTTATATTTCTCAGAATATATTATATATATTATTGTAAATATTCAACCCTATTGCAAGATGATAAATAAAAAAATCTCTAAGACGTTTCTTTTTACGATTTCTTTTTTTAAGCGTGGTAGAACACCTTTTTTTTTACCTGAATATTTTTGATGGAAAAGTTATAATAAAAAAAATAAAATTTTTTTCGTTTTTTCCAAACTTTACCTTTGTAAAATATCAAAAGTAACTTGAACACTAACTTTTTTACACAATCGTCATTCAGATCATTCAAACTTCGTTACGTTTTTTATAACTTATCTTACCCCTTAAACCGTAGTCATAATAACAGATCTTATATAACATAGTCGTAATAACAGATCTGTTATTATGACTATGCTTAAACGATATGTTCAGACTTGTTTAAATAAAAAAATTACAAAATGTGACTCGACTGAAATGGCTTACAGCTTACGTTTTAAAACAAATTCTATAAACACATATATATATATATATATATATATATATATATATATATATTATATATATATATATATATATATATATATATATATATATATATATATATATATATATATATATTATTTAAGAAGTAATTAAAATTAGTAACAATTAAAAGACCTTTACATCCAGCTGGAAGTGTGCAATTTCGGGAAGAACATGGAATACATTTTAATGCGGTCAAAGAGTAACAAAATGAGATTAACAGAAGCAAAGTGAAAATAATGTGTTTCATTGCGTTTTATTCTAAATAACAATTGTTAAAAAACAATATACATTTATGATATATGTATAAATTTATTTTTAATTGCATATATATATATATGTTTAACTATATATATATATATATATATATATATATATATATATATATATATATATATATATATATATATATATATATATATATATAATATATATATATATATATATATATATATATATAAAATTATATATATATATAAAATATATATATATATATATATATATAAAATTAATTAAATAAATAAACAAAAAATTTTAATTAAAGTTAGTAAAAAAACTAGATTTTGTTGCTCTCGCGAGGTTAGAATTATCTTTTTCTATCTCCGTATTTTTGAGTTTTGAGATTTTAAAAATGTACTCTTTAGAAGACGGCATATAAAAAGATTTTTATTATTTAGGCTTTCTCCGCAATTTTTTCACTTATAACTTAGTCTTTATTGTTCTGAGGTAATACCTCAAAACAATGTTTTTCAACTGTATTGAAGACTAAGTTTTAAATAAAAAAGACGAAATATACCTAGTATATAACACAACCAATGACTCAAATTTTTCAAACAGTGGAGATCGACAGTGACAAAAATTCGCGTTTATAACGAATACTGTTTTCTAAATTTTTTTGACGTTTTTTGTTTTTTAAGACTGTTTTTATAAGCAACTAAAACATCACAAACTATTTTGTATACTACAATAAACAGTCTTATAAAACAAATATTATTACAAACTATAGATATAAGAATAAAACGTAAAAAACATGTTGCAAATAAGTATTATATATAAACCTATTTTAATTTGCAAAAATAATGACTTTGAAGAGTTTTGTGGCCAATTTTAATGGCCAATCAAGATTTTTTAACCTTTAAATGTCGTTTATTCAAATATCAAAAATTTAAACTATTTTGCCTTCGCACTTTAATATATTTAATATATAAGTTTATCTATTATATATATATATATATATATATATATATATATATATATATATATATATATATATATATATATATATATATATATATATATATATATATACAGTAGAGAAAATAGAATTAGCCTCACCATTTACTGATCCAATATTTTGTAAACCTTTAAGCAAGTTTGTGCGGTGCATATTTTGTATCCACACGCATATAATTATTGTAACAAACAATAACTTTTTAGATTATAATATTGCATTATTAAATTGCGATACATTTGATAAAACCATAAAATGGATAATACTTGGTTTTTGCGGTAACAAATAAAATTTTTAATTTTTATTTTTTTATTTTAATTCACCTCCTCAAGGCCGAGAAGGCCACTACAGACGAGGAGGCTACTTATTTTGTGGCTATCACCCTCTCTCAACTTTATAACTCCGAAACACGAACCTTGACGAACAAGGCCGCTGCGCGGAGAAACGAGTTGAGCGCGGTACTACCAGGGACGTGGTGGGGATCGAACCCGGAACCACTCGTTTATGAAGCGAGCGCTCTACCACTACACCACTACCGCATTTTAAAAAAATGCAGTAGTGGTGTAGTGGTAGAGCCACCACTACCGCATATCACCACTACCACAACTACCGCATTTAAACTCATCAATAAATGTTTTTAGTTTACTTGTATATTATGATTTGGTGATACGCATTTGTGACTTTTATTATTATTTGTAAGTTAAACATAGACTGTGAAATCAGTGCTCATAAAGTTTTTAACGTTTGGTTTTTGATGCCTTAATTTGAAATGGGACGTGGTAAGCGTTTAACAAATGAAGAATTAGCAGTAATTAAAGCATACTAACATACAAGCTTATCTAATCGGGAAATTGCAAAGAAAATTAAAAGACCTCCAAATGTAGTTAATAACCACTTCAGGATTGGCGTTAATTATGGAGCTTATAAGTGAAGTGGTGGCAAACGTAAAATTGATAAATGTACTAAACGAGTTATTGTACGTCGTGCTGCTGCTCAGCACATGACTGCATCTCAAATTCGTGCTCATTTACAATTACCTGTATCTGTTTAACGTGTGAGGCAAATCTTACATAAAAATCCAAACACAGTTTGGAAAAAGCATAAACAAAAGAAAAAACTTAATTTTTGTCATAAAGAAGCTAGATTACAATTTTTAAAAGAATTTATGTCTTCGCAGGAAGAGTGGCATCAAGTTCTCTTTAGTGTTGAAAAAAAGTTCAATTTAAATTTTCCTAATGGCTATCAAAATTACTGGCACGACCTTCGATAAAAGAAAGAAATTTGGATGAGTCGTAACTTTGGTGGTGGAACTGTTATAGTTTGGGGGCTTTTTACTTTGCTGGAAACCTTCCACTGGTAATGATTTCAACAAAAATAAATTTACAGGACTACATTGACTTACTAGAAATAAGTTTGCTTGAACATGGTGAAGGATTGATGAGTGAAAATTTAACTTTTTAACAAGAAAAAGCTGATATCCATAATTCAAATTTTAGTTTAGTGAAAAAAATATTGACGTAATAGAATGGCCCGCATGTAGTCCAGATCTTAACCCGATTGAAAACCTATGGGGAATACTTTCTAGAAAAGTTTATGAAAATGGTAAACAATTTGAATTCACCTTGGAGCTGAAAACTCGTATCAAAAAAGCTTGGAATAAAATATCTAAAGAAACTATTCAAAATCTTGTGACTAGTATGTTAAGTTGCATACTTGAAGTCATTAAAAATTTAGGAAGCATTACTAAATATTAAATGAGCGTAAAAACAAAATATTTTCTGTATTTTCTTGTATAGTTATATACAAGTAAATGAGGCTAACTCTATTTTCTCCACAAATTGACTGCTTTTATTTTTTTTTCCATTTGTAATTAATTAAAATCAATTTATAAACTTTATAGTTGTAGCATTTTTGTTAAATTAAAACGAACAATGTTTGGTAGCAGGAAAATATCCCCCGAGAAAAAATACCCTCCCCCCCCCCGGAAAAAATCCCCCCGAGAAAAAATCCCCCCGGAAAATATCCCCCAAAAACAAAAAATTTTTTTTTACATAAAAATAATCAATAAAATAGTTATATTTGTTTATTTTAAATAGTTTTATAAAATACTTCATTTTTCATCAAAATTTAAAGTTATGCGCAATTCCTCGGTTTTCAGTAAAAATAATAATAAAATTTTTTTTTATTATCATTTTTACTGATTTTTTCTCGCGGGATTATTCCGGGGGGATTTTTTCAGGGAGGACTTTTTCCTGCGGGATTTTTTCCTAGAACTCAATGTTTACTTTTTTGAACTCATTAGACATTTATATGTCATTATATTAAGTTAAAACTTACAGTGTTTCGTCGCGTCAGTGGTTTGTAATTTGAGTGCGTTTATATTTTATAATTGTTCTTAATATGTTTGTATGTAATTGCTAATTTGTTCATATGGTTAAGGTTAAATTGTAAATATGTTTATATGGGTTGTAATGGTAATATTTGAGGTATATGATTTTGTATAAAATTTGATTATATTTGTGTAAGAGACATGTAAGCAAAATACGCGACGAAGTTATTTTGGTGGATTTCGGAGTTAGTATAATGCTTGGTATAAGTTCAATTAAATTATAGGATGGAGTTTTCATTTCCTCGTTGAGAAGATCAAAGTTTCGGTCTAGCTATTGCGGATTGGAGTTTTAAACAAAGATGAAGTAAACAAAATTGAAATTAAAAAGAAAGATCATGAAGCTATTTTTGATGATGTGGAATGGAGAGTCAAATGGAAATGGAGAAACGGAGATGGACCCGACCAACGAGTCTCGATTATGTTAAGAGGCAATTTGAAAAATATGGTTTGCAAGCAAAGAGGGTGACAGATTGACGATAACGGGGTCCGTGTGTTGAGATTATATATACGCAAAGCTAGTAACAAACTGACGTGGTCAAGAGGGAATCGAGTTAAAGAAATCCCGAAAAAATTGACCAGAAGAAAATTATTTTCAGCTTGCGGACAGTTGGTGGATTATTTACCTGGTTGCAAGTTGTTTGTAGTCTGTTAAAACAAAGAGTGGTCAATTTGACGAAGGGTTGGGATAATGAAATTCGTGATAAAAATGTGAAATGTGTACTTCAAGAAATTTATGATGAGGTTAAAAGTTGCGAGCCAGCTTGTGGTGATTGGGCTGTGGATGTAAATGAGAGAAAGGTATGGGCTGATATAAGTTCTTTAGCTATGGGTGTAATAGTTCAAATTGGTAATATGATGGTGGAAAATGCCAAAAGAAAAGCAGGACGTTCATATAAATATGCCAAAGTTAGATGCGGTGCGACTACGAGGAATAAATATGGCTTTAACGTGGTAAACTGGGAAAAGTGACAGTTTTTACAAACTCTGCAACAGTATTATATTGGACTTCTGATGCACTTACAGGAAAATCAAGATTGAAGTCAAAAGCCACTGGTGAAATGTTGATTCGAAGAAGAAAAAGCGTTCTGCAACAACTAATTGAAGAATACGATTTAAAAGTTGACGTAAATCTTGTGCCATCGGAAGATAATTTAGCTGATGCATTAACAAGAGTTCGCAGCAGATGGTTATATAAGTTGACTGGGAATGAGCTTCTAAAGGAAGGATAAAAGGACTGGGAATGAGCTTTTTTTGTCTGGCAAAAAATGACACAAACAAAATATTTGTAGCAGGTGATAAAAACTGATCTCTTCAATGGGCTGTCGTTGTGAAGTAGTCATTGAATCAAAAGGATACCTAAATATTAATTTACCTCAAATAAAGTTTTCTTATCTATTTTTACAAAGATCGTCTATGATTTTTATAGCAAAGGAACAAAATGATAGTTCTTTAACAGGGTATACTATTTAAAATAACCCTCTTACTCTGTACCTCTAAATCATTTATATGATAAATTTTTTTTCAGCTAAGTTAGTTTACTTTTTTAATCAATAATTTTAATCAGCTATTTATTTTGTCGCCACTGTGTGTTTATATATATATATATATATATATATATATATATATATATATATATATATATATATATATATATATATATATATATATATATATATATATATATATATATATATATATATATATATATACATATATATATATATATATATATATATATATATATATATATATATATATATATATATATATATATATATATATATATATATATACATATATATATGTATATATATATATATATATATATATATATATATATATATATATATATATATATATATATATATATATATATATATATATATATATATATATATATATATATATATATATATATATATATATATATATATATATATATATATATATATATATATTTGTATATATATTTATATATATTTATATATGTATAAATATAGATCCCTAAGAGCTTTTGAATAAGATGAACAACAATGTTAACATTTTGTTATTGTTCAACGGATTTAAAAGCCATTTTGTTTTTAATGTTTTTCTTACTTATCAACAATCTTGTCCTCTTACAAAAAATCGTGACTTAAATATATAACATTTAAAAATACAACTAAGTAGCTCAGTAGTTTATCAAGAAAACTATCAAATACTTTTAAGAGCATTTCATTTAAAATAAAAAACGGTTGCTCTATAATTGCACTTTTCAGTTCATCCAGTGTTCTTGGTGAAATTTTATAGATTCTTTATAGCATAAGTTGATTAACCGCAATGTTTATTTGTTAAAATACAAATGAAAGCATCCCAGAAGTGGAAGTAGTTTAACTATAAGATAATTTCTAAATCATAACTTTTATTTGAGTTACACTGTATATATAAACACACACACACACAAACACACACACATACACACAAGCACGCGCGCGTTTAGTGAGACAAAAACCTAAAAAAATTTCAAAATAAAACTTATTTTTATTTTATAAAAGACTTTTTCATTTTTTTAAACTTTCCACAAAACATTTAAAACATTATCTAGTAACAACATGCTTCTAATATCGATTGCGAGACATAAATTAAAATGACAGATTGCTATGTTTTATAGTTTTTTAAAACCATTTGACATTTATATTGAAAATAAATACTATATATAACATTTAAAAATACAACTTATGACTCTTGTAACAATTCATGATCGTCATGATCTTCATTGACAACGTGTTTTAAGTTCGTTTTGAGAGGTTTAAATAGTGTCAGATCGTAATCGTCATCAGCTGTTATATCTTTTTTATTTTTGTCTACAAAACAATGCTGCAGATGAGAAAAATGTCGTGGTAATGTATGAATACATATACAGCTGAAGTTGACTTCGACTTCAGCTGTTGAACCACTATACTTCCTTTCCATCGTCGTTGTGTACACTTCGTCATATGCTTGGGTTTTACCCACGCTTTATCTCCAACTTTCCATCCTCGAAACTTTTCACACACCCCTTACTCCTCCTTTAAAAATAATGGTTTTCAAGTTGTTGTCGGTTTGTTTTTACGAGTTTAGTCGGCTAGTCGGGTGTTTAAAACAATTCCGTCAGGTGAATTTTAGTTTTGAATATCTTTTTTTTTTTATTGCTATTTTTTCAAGTCGGTACTTAAAATAAAGTCCACTTATGCGTTTTAAACGGTAATAACGTGTATTTATCATTCTTAAATTTATTTTAATCAATAAAATTCGAAGCTGTGCGTGGAGTCTCATCGTTTCTCCCCCGGATTTTCTCAAGTTTTTGCCCCATCGCTTTTTTCGTAGGATTACCATTATTTTTTCCCTTTAGCAATACGATATTCTGAAAGGCGACAAAAAATGCTACTAGATAGCACTAGCACAATTTTTTCAGGCAAATTTGGAATCTCATCGTTTTTTCCCTGGACCCTTGATATACATATATGTATATATATATATATTATATATATATATATATATATATATATATATATATATATATATATATATATATATATATATATATATATATATATATATATATATATATATATATATATATATATATATATATATATATATATATATATATATATATATATATGTATATATATATATATATATATATATATATATATATATATATATATATATATATATATATATATATATATATATATATATATATATATATATATATATATATATATATATATATATATATATATATATATATATAAACTTGGAGTATGAACAATTTAAATTTTAAAATAGTCTATTTAAAATAAATCTATTTTAAATATATGGGTAATATATCAACAATGGGTACGACGGGACAATCTTTCCTGAAAATATTATTTTTTATATATTTTGTATTCTAAAATAACTTCAGGAAATATTATTTTGTTGTATTATTTGTTATATTTGGTATATATTATATTTTAAAATAATAAGTTGTTAAATTTGATATGTGAAACGTTTTGTTTTAAAGCATCGTTTTGTTTTATAAGCTACAAAAAAAAAAAGAAATTGTAAATAAATATTATAACAGAGTCTGTTTTTATGACAACCATAAAATTGCAAATGTAACATGACACATATGATGAACATTTTTGATATTATATTTCATTTGATGACGTTAATTAGGACGTTAATACGGACGTTAACTGTCGGTTCACGCTTTTGATATTAAAATGTCTTTGAAGGTAATATTATAAAAGTGTCATTTCGCTTCCGCATTTTGTAAATGTATGAATCTATCTATAAATATATCAGCAAATAAAAAATGTTGAAAGTTAGTCAGTTTTATATCTGGTTGGATACAATTTATTAATTTTATAATTGTTAATTATGCAGTTATATTTATAACCTAAAGTTATATAAATAGGTTTTAAAGAAATAGTTTAAAATGTTATTCAATGTTAAAATAATATCCAGTAATTAATAAACGTAAACGATGACTAAATCATTAATATCGAGTTTATTAAGGAAGAGTATGTTCTTTGTGAATGTTGTTTGTATATGAATAATATATCCGAAATTGATATATTATTATATATCAATAATTGGTATATATTTTATATTTGGGTCACACTGTATATATATATATATATATTATATATATATATATATATATATATATATATATATATATATATATATATATATATATATATATATATATATATATATATATATATATATATATATATATATATTTATATATACATATATATATATATATATATATATATATATATATATATATATATATATATATATATATATATATATATATATATATATATATATATATATATATATATATGCATTTTTCGAAACATTAACCTTCAGATACAACTAAGTAACTAAGTAAGTTTATCAAGAAAACTATCAAATACTTTTAAGAGCATTTCAATTAAAATAAAAAACGGTTGCTCTATAATTGCACTTTTCAGTTCATCCAGTGTTCTTGGTGAAATCTTATAGATTCTTTATTCTAAACAAGAAATTAATAAAATTAAAAAATAATAACACCAAGATTAAAAGAACAGAGTTTTTAAAGTAACCAATAAAAAATGTAAAACATATCAACCTTAATACTTTACTACGATACTTTTTTTTCTTAATTCAGTTATAAATAGCTATTTCTATCAATGACACTGTTTTATTGTTTAATATGCAACATCTGCGTAAGCATTGTTACTTTATTTGTTCTTTCTTAAAACTTCTTTTTATTATTTTTGGTAAAGAAAAGCGCTCTAAAGCTTGCTAAAAAATAAGTTCACGATCCCCATTTACAAGCTGAGTTTTCAGCTCCTTGTAACAATTTAGAATTACCAAAAATTGTTTTTACCAAAATATATTAGGTCATAAAGTGTTGGAGGATGTTATAAGGAAAAATTAGATTAAAAACAAAATAATATTTGAAGTCTGTCAATTTTATTACTATATCTATAAAAGTCCTTAAAATTTATTTATTTTTAAGACTGTTAAAAACTCCATCAAGTTTATTTTTGATAAAAAATTTTGTTTTAAAATTCTAGTAATACTAATTGGCAGTTACTCATAAATAACCTACACAGAATCGTTTCTTGGTAACCTGCATAATTCCAACTGGATTTTTAAAAAAAACGATATTTTTTGGTTTTATAATCAAAGAAATCCAATATTAGATATCGCAAATATGAAAATAATTCGGATGATTCATTTTAAACAAAACTGCGTTGTTAAAGATTGTCAATAAGATCTTAATGACGTTCTTTGACAGCGTAATAATCATCTTAAGATGGTATAACGATTAATGAAAACCGTCAATGCAATTGACGATTTTATTTGACGCAATTAATTAGACAATGCTTATTGTTATTTCTTTCATATAAATAAATCTTTTTGAGACATTTAAAACTCAAAAAAAAAGTTAGCTAGAGATATGTTGCTATTTTATGGTTTTGTGTAACAGATAAATTATTTATGTTTTAAATATAAATGATGTACTTCTAATAATTTACGTTAACGGCGTATTTCAATCTAAATAAAAGATAAATTTAAAAAATAAAAACTTGACTATGACCTGTTATATGGATTTTTTTTTTTTTTTTTTTCGATTTCAAATTCGAATATAAAATACGAAGTTTTTATGTTATATTTTTTTAATACGTATATGTTATATTTTATTCGTTAACTATGGAGATTTCGTGTGGTTTGTAATAATTTAAATTAAAGCGATTTTTTAATTTATTTATTGCACTAGTTATAATTATATTTTGGTTAAATATTTTTATTTAGAAGATTATAAAAAAGAAAATGAAACACTTTATTTTGGCTTTGTTTTTGTTTTTCTCTATTTGCTACACAACAACCGCTCTAAAATGCATTAACTGTGCCTTGGTAAGATGCAAATCTCCCGAAGGATGCAAAGGTAAATATTACTATCTCCAGTAATTATATTGTTGTTCAGTTGAACTATTATTTTTGTTGTTATTATTTGGTATTTTTATAAGTTTACTGAAAACATCATGTTAAATTTTTCAATTTATAAAACAACGGCACACTACAAATACAAGTTTGTACATTAGGGTAAAGTAATTTGAAAAATTTTTGAAATTAAGTTAGCCCGAAGACATAAAATAAGAATATCTTATTTTATGTCCTTCGTTTGCCTAATTTTCAAATCTTTTTTTTTTTTTTTTGTAAAAAATAACCTTCCTCTTTTTTTCTTTTTTTTAAAAAAAAAAAAAAATGAGTTTTTGATATTCTTCTTGTAATTAAAATTTTCGATAAATCGTAAATTAAGAAAAAATCTTTTTTTTGTCAACTTGGTCAACTCAAGGTGCTTGAGCGGAACCTAAAGAACTCATCTAAATCCAAAAATATTTTTTTACTTTCCTGTTATAATTAATAGAACACCATTCGCGTCTCAGGAATGTTTATTTTAAAACTTTGCTTTGAAAAACGCTCCAGCCTTATGTACACGTTTTTTATAAGTTGTGTAAACTATATAAAAAAAAGTTTTTATTTGTAGTTATAGCCTACAGGTTCGGTCTGCTTATTTTTTATATAAAAATAAATAATACTATATGCTATTGAGCTAACCCCAAAGAAATTAAATAACTTACTTATACCCTTAAAGTAGAGGGTGGAACTTTCGAATTTAAAAAATATAATTCGTTTTTTGAATAGCCGGAACAGTCAAAGACTTTTGTGGCTGTTGTGATATTTGTGCTCAGGCCTCTGGTGAAGAATGCGGAGGAGTATTGTTGCGTACTAAAAAATGTGGTAACGAACTGGAATGTGTCAAAAAGAATAGTACAGACCTGATGGGAATATGTATGAACCATTTATTTTTTTATTTTCATAAATTTTTTCGTAAAATAATTTACCTGGGTAAAAATTAAACTTTTTTAAAGGTCGACCAAGATGCGGGCCTTTTTGCAAAATGTTTTGTCCATATGGATATGTACTTGACAAAAATGGATGTCCGACTTGTCGCTGTAACAGTAAGAAAAATTTTTTGTACATTTAATTTACAAAAAAATAAAAAGAATTTTGAAAAATATTTTTTTCCTTAAGGTCAACCAAAGTGTGGGCCAGTATGTATGATTTACTGTGAAAACGGAAACGTTCTTGATGCAAGAGGATGTCCGACCTGTAAATGCAACCGTAAAAAATTTTCATTATTTCAATTAATTAAATAAAATAAAAGTTTTAGCTTGTGAAATATTTTATATTTATATAGATATATTTATATAAAATTTTTTATATAGAAATACCAAAATGCGTGTCAAAACCATATTCAATTGAAGAAACAATAATCAGGCCAATGTGTCCAAAAATCGCGTGCCCACTGATCAAATGTGCTTATGGACAAGTACTCGATGAATATGGCTGTAAGACATGTTCTTGTCGAAGTAAGCATACTTTAAAATTTCCTTTTTAAATTTGTTTATATATCTAGTACACTACTTAAAAAACATGTGTATGTGATAAGTGTTTTAAGGTGAGTTTTCATTTATCCGTTTTTCTTATAATCGAGAGCATGTGTAGTTTTATTTCGGACAAATTAAAACTAAAAATAAGCATGCCCACGTGATAACTTTTCCCTTCCCTTTCCCGCTCCCGTGAAAAAACGGATGAAAGGAAACTCACCTTTATAATTTAATGTATAACTAATAACATGTTTGCGTGATGAGTGTTTCATACTTTAATGTATAATTAGAAAATCTTTTTTATCTGTTCAAAAATTGTTCTTTGTTGTATAAGGTTTTTTTGTAACCAGTTATTGGAAGTTCCTTAAATCTTTTTTATTCTGAATTAAATTTTGTTTTGAACACTTTGTAGAACTACACGCACTCTTTTACAGTTTTTATTAAGTAATGTTTTTGTTAAAGTTTATTTTGATTTCTTGTTATACTCAGTCGTAACGCTAATGACTGACTATAACAGACCTCGTCGCAATTCCGATAATTTGTGCGCGCGCGTATTTGCGTTATGGTTCCTAATGCGCAGAATCGTATGAAGAAAAAAAAAAGAAAATACACATATAAATTAAGTAATCTTGAAAGAAACAGTTATTTACTTAACATTGTTTTTGTTTATTTATCAAAAAAATTGCATTTTTTCGCACTCTATACTCATTAAAAGGTTTTACACTCCGCCTACAAATTCGTTTTTAAATTTATTTCATATCCACATATATTCTATAACACAAACATATAAACAGTATAAAGTTTAGACTTAAAATGGTTATAATAAACTTATATAAAGCAAAATCAATGTCTTTATTATAAAAAAAGAAAAAAAATTTCATGTAATCTACTGTTTCTTTCAAGAATACTTTCTTTTTGTATCTGTGTATTTACTTTTTTTCATGCATAAAGAACGATGATGTAATATTAAGAATTCGTGCGCATGAAATTTTAGGAACTGTAAAGACTATTATTATATCTCTAATGACTGAGTGTAATCTTTACATGTAGTTAAACTCGGCACACTAAACACTTTATATGTAGTTAAACTCCACACACTAAACACTTTATATGTAGTTAAACTCGACACACTAAACACTTGTTAATATATGTAGTTAAACTCGACACACTAAACACTTGTTAATATATGTAGTTAAACTCGACACACTAAACACTTTATATGTAGTTAAACTCGACGCACTAAACACTTGTTAATATATGTAGTTAAACTCGACACACTAAACACTTTATATGTAGTTAAACTCGACACACTAAACACTTGTTAATATATGTAGTTAAACTCGGCACACTAAACACTTTATATGTAGTTAAACTCGGCACACTAAACACTTTATATGTAGTTAAACTCGACGCATTAAACACTTGTTAACATATGTAGTTACCTCGACACACTAAACACTTTATATGTAGTTAAACTCGAAAGACTAAACACTGTATATGTAGTTAAACTCGTTACACTAAACACTTTATATGCAGTTAAACTCGACTATAATAAATAAAATATGTAACTCCGAAGCAATTAAATAAATATGTGGATAAGTTGTAGCAACAGTACAACTGCAGATTTTGTAGTGTTTAAAAATAGATAGAAATTCAAGATTTAGAATTAAAATAAAAATACTAACAATTTAGAAATAAAATAGTATATTGGCATTTAAACAAAAACATCTTTTAATTTTGTATTACCCGGATCGTAATACAAACTTCTTAATCTCTGCTAATACAAATTTTTTTACAAAGATATTTTTTATATAATTATATTTTACAAAGTTTAAAATAACCTTTAGAAATTTTTAAGATCAATTTAATATAAAAAAATACAAATTATAGTATAATTTTATCAACTAACAACCGAAAAAATTTCGAAAAAAACTCCAAACTAATAAAAAATTAAATTTGCATATTTTGTTACCAGCGGTTTAAAATCTCAGTATTTAAAAACGCACAAATGAGCGTTAACAATAATAATAATAAAAATAAATTCAGTAGTAATGACTCGATTCCAATTGACTGTTTTGAAACCATTATTTAGGTGTGCCTCCTTTATGCAGCAAAGATGGATGTTGTAAAGAACCTACACGTTTTTGCAATAAAAACAACAAGTAAGTTTTTATTTAAAAAAGTTTTTAAAATATTTATTAAAATAAAATTTTGAATTGTTAAATTTATAATTATTTTTAAGTTTCTTTTGGCGGCTTTGAAGTAAACATTTTAAATCTATTTTTAGCTGCTGTATACACGATTCGACTTGCTTTCCATACTCCGGATGGTACAGAAGCTAATCATTTCAAACGCAAAACCTTTTTTGAAAATGGAATAAAACAGTATAATAATTTATTTTTTCTTTAATGTAAAAACAAAAAACAGTAAAGTTAAAAGTATAAAAATTCTTTTATACTTTTTATAAAACAAATTTATTAATATTGACTTAAAAGATAAAAAATGTCAAACTTTTTTTTTTTTAAGAGTTTACTATTTCTTTATTAATCATTTAGATATTATTTATTTATAACGATATCTCCCTTGTAGATTTTTTTTTGATTATTTGTATATAGATTATTATAAAAAACAAAAAGAAAAAAAAAAGGAGTGTTTTTATTACTTATAAACTGTTGATTTTACATCGGTCTGTTACAAATAGATATTTGACACTAGAATCTAAAATAACAGCAAGATTCCAACAATCTAGTAATGACTAAGTAGTAACTTACAAGCTGCGTAGGGTTCTGGTCAAAATACTCTGTAAAGCAATAAAGTGAAGCTATAATTAAATAACTTTAAACCAAAAATAATTATTTTTCCAAATGCATTTTTTATACTGCCATAAAGTGGGATGCGTGAAAAAAACCCGTCTGCTCCAAAAATGTTTCAAAAAAACAGATAAAAATAAGTCACTTAAAAAAATAAGGAGAAATTAAATTAATAATAAAAACAGAGTATTTTATGATAATTGGATAGAAAACCTAATAAAAAAACTTGCTCATAACAAAACAATGTCAAACGCTACTATCAACATTTGTGTTGATTAGGGAAGAGTGTCATTAATGGGGGGTTAGAAGTTGTAATTTTTCTTTTAGATTTTTTTCTTTCAAATTTTTTTTTCGAAGCTATTTGAAGGCAATTTTAAATTATAATTATGTTTTTCAATTTTGCCTTTCCGGGAGGGAGGAGTTAATTGTTGGAGAGGGTGGATGCTTGGAAAAAAGTTCTTTGTTTTGGGGAAAGGGGTTGTAATTAATTGAAATCGAGGAGACTTATTCCCAAAATTAAAGATTTACCCCACCCCCTACAATTAGGTATGGGAGAGTGCAGAAATAAGAAATATAATATAAAGAATAAAAAAAAAAAATTTAATTTATATTTATATACAATAAAAAAATATATATATATATATAAAAAGGGTTTCTTATAGAATCGAAGTTTTTTACATCTATGCAAATAAGATGAAAATATACTATTCAATATTTTAAAGAAAAAATAATTAAATATAGCTCTAGAAGAAGTTTGATTAATCAAAATTATATCTTTTAGTTTTGATGTAAAATTATATATTTTTGTAAGCGTTTTATGTTGTTTCTGATTATTATACTCTATAATTGGGGTCTCTAGCTGTGATAGAAAACTTATTGGTGACAGTGTGGAAAACGGATAACCTTCCTGACTATTACAGTCGCAGTTTTAAGATAAAAAATCCTATTCAGGTAATGGCTTTTGCTGTTATATTCTCAGAAAGATAAAAAAATCTGTGTTTTTTGTTGAAAAAGGGCCCACATACCTGCCTACATAACATTTTAGAAAGTATACATAAAACCTTTTTTGGACTCACCTTTTAACTTGGATGACAAGGTAGTGTTTACCCAAGTAAAGGGGTGGTGTCACAGTTTAAAAAAAACACAGTAATGGCTAAGATCAAACATCAAAAGATTTTAGCAAAAAAAAAAAATTGTCCCGAGCTGCCCTGAAAAAAATATGCATATTTGAAAATGCCTCGTTATACTGAAAGTGCAATTATGATCAACTTTTAATGCTTTTAATAAATAATCATTAACTAGAAAATTACGTTAAACTTAAATCCGCTTTGTAAAAAATTATCTATGTACCAAATTTCAGGCCAATAACTCATTCTGTTTATCAAATATTTCTATTAAATGACAAAAAACATGTTGTCAGCATAACTAAGAAAATTAAAACTTGAATATCACAAGAACCTTTAGCAGTTGGAAATTACAACTTTCAAATTTTTCTAGTTTTTATATATTTATTTATATAGTTATTTATATAAACCCTATAACATTTATACAAATTAACAAAATCAAAAACATGGGGTGTTTCTTCTCCATTGCAAATAAAGCAGAAATTACTTTAAATTCTTCGGTTCCCATAAGAAGTTTTTGTAAAAAAAAGCAAGAGTATCCAACAAAATTACTAAAAGATTACACCATATTTGCAAGGCCTTATGGGAAAACAATGCGTTTGATGTATTTATACGTCCAATGAGCAACGTCCGATTCAATTGTAAAAATGTCCGATGTAATTGATTGTAATTACTTATTCAGTATGATTTGTTTAACAGAAACTTGGTGTTCTGACGAATCAATCCAAAATAACACTAACTTTCAAATTCCCAATTATAAATTAATATCTTCTGAAAGAAAAACATGAAAAAAAGGAGGAGGGATCGCAACTTATGTTCGGAATGATCAAGCAATAAAAGTAAGAAAAGACCACTCCATTTTTAATGCCGATAGTGAGGTCTTTACAATAGAAATCATAAACTCCAAGTTTAAAAATATTATTGTTTCTACCTGTTATAGACCACCTGAAGGTAACATTAAAACTTTTTCTAATTATCTAGAAGAAATTTTTCTCAAAATCAATAAAGAACAAAAAAAGTTATTCTGTATTGGGGACCTCAACATAGATTGTTTAAAATACAATGAGTTTCCGATTACTAAATTATTTTTTGATAACATGTTTCAACATTGTATTTTACCAATTATTAATAAACCCAAACGGGTAACCTTAAATTCTATTTCTGCCATAGATAACAATCCAACAAACTCATTTCTAGATACTTCCTTAAAAGCAGGAATAGTAAAAATTCATATAACAGATCATTTTCCAATTTACTTTACAATAAAAAATGATACAAGAGTAAATAATAATTTGAAAAAAATAACTTATAAAAGAAAAATTAATAAATTTTCAATTCAAAATTTTAAACACACACTATCGGCAGTAGATTGGGTTAAAGTGTATCAAGAATGTAACCTGGAGAACACAAACTCTGCATATAATATTTTTAGATAGAAGACAGACAAGGACACAGTTTTTCAATTAATTACCTAAAACCAAGATCTTCTACAATCGAATATGGTTGAATGTCCTACGCCATCATTTCTCCAATGTGATTGTGAATTTTGATAGCTCTTTGACAGATATTTTTCTAAAGCACTTTAATAATCATTTTCCAATCATAGAAAAAGTAATCCAAGTAAAATATTTGAGCTGTCCATGGATCACCAGCGGTATTAAAAAATCTTCAAAAACAAAACAAAAACTATACGTTAAATATTTGAAAAACAGAAATAAGATTAACCTATCTACTTATAAACGATACAAAAATCTTTTCGAAAAAATCAAAAAACATTCTAAAAAAATTTACTACTCTAAATTACTTAAAAAAACAAATGGAGACATGAAAAAAACATGGAACATTATGAAAGAAATAATCGGGAAAAAAAACAAAAAAACAAATAGTTTACCAGATAGAATCATTATAAATGAAACCGAACACGATGATAAGAACTCAATTGCCGAACACTTCAACAATTTCTTTGCAAACATAGGCCCAAACATGGCGTCTAAAATTTTAACTACAAATGACTCCTTTGAAAATTACCTTACAGATCTAAATAGCGAACTAATTTTCAATGGATTAAGCTATGTAGAACTTGAAAATGCAAAAAACTCTTTAAAAATTAACAAAGCACCAGGAGTTGATGAAATTTGTAGCAATGTAGTAATAAATATCTTTCCGATTATAAAAAAACCCCTCTTCGAAATATTTAAATCTTCAATTATAACAGGAACCGTTCCAGAGAAATTAAAAATTGCAAAAATTGTACCTATATATAAAAGTGGAGAACCATATTTACTAAACAACTATAGACCAATCTCAATCCTTCCTGTATTCTCAAAACTTCTCAAACGAATAATTTATAATAAACTGTACATATATTTAACAAACAATAACATCTTAAATAAAAAACAGTTTGGATTTTAAAAACAACATGCAACCGAACATGCAATAATAGATCTTGTAAATAGCATCAACTACTCATTTGATAATAATGACTTTGTTCTAGGAATCTTTATAGATCTATCAAAAGCATTCGATACTGTTGATCATGAAATGATCAACAGTATCGAATGAAAAATATGGCGTAAAAAATGTTGCATTACTCTGGTTTAAAAACCTTTTGCTAAACAGACAACAATGTGTAAATACTGATGAAAATATCTGTTCAAAAATGCTAAAGATCAAATGTGGCGTTCCCCAAGGTTCCATTCTAGCTCCCTTACTGTTTTTAATGTACATTTTTGATCTTCCGAAAGCCTCAAACAAACTTGTCATAATGTTTGCAGATGACACTAATTTATTTTATTCATCCCCGTCAGTTACAGAACTTTTTGAAATAACGAATATTGAACTCGAAAAACTTAATATTTGGCTAAAATCTCATTAACTATCTTTAAACACAGAAAAAACTAATTAAATCTTATTCCATCCAAATCAAAAAAGAAAAAAGCTACTAAATATATTGTCATTGCTAAGAATAAAAAACAAAAATATCAAAAGAACCACAACAACTAAATTCCTAGGTTTACTTGTTGATCAAAATATTTCATGGAAAGCCCATATTGACTATTTAAATACTAAAATAACCAAAAACATTGGCGTGCTATACAAAGCTAGACCAATGTTATCCCAAGAAAATCTAAAACATCTTTATTTTTCATTTATACATACCTATTATACATATGGTAATATAGCATGGGCCAGTACCCATAAATCTAATTTAAAATCACTTTATCAACATCAAAAACATGCCATTAGAATTGTCTATAAAAAAGATAAACTCACTCATGCTGAACCTTTGTTTAAACTCCTAAATGCACTAAACGTCTATTGAATTAACATTTACCAAAACTTACTCTTCATGCTAAAATTTAAACTCGGGCTTGTCCCACCACATTTCTTAAATGATTTTTTTAAAAGCAATAAAAATAGACGTGACACTAGAGAAGTAGGAAACTTTAATGTACCGTTCAGAAAAACAAAACTGTTGCGTTTCACAATTTTATATCGCGGTCCCTATTTCTATAATAAACGGATATCCAAAAATGCCATTATTACAAAATTAGATAACATAAATTGTTTGAAAATCTTACTTAAAAAGTTCGTTTTAAATATCAGCAATTATTTGAACTTACACTAAACTAAAACTGAAAGTAAAACCAAAATTATAATTGAAAACAAAATCCAAAAAAAACTTCAATAATATATATTAATATAAAAAATCAATATAAGTCAATAATAATTATATTTATGCCTAATAATATATTTATGTGTATTATGTGTACTACAAACAGTATTTACCAACTTTTTTATTTCAACATTTTATTATATGTGAACTTAATATAAAATGAAGTATTTTGTGAAACTAGATACATTGTAAAACAAAAATACAAAAAATATTACAAGTACAAGCGGTTTCTTGATGACAAGACCATCTGGTCTTTTGCAAGTTTCCCGCGTTCTTTTAATATTAATGATACCCAACAACCATTTTTTTTGTATTCTATAAAATTGTGATATATTTTTAGTATTATATATTTTAAAAACATTATAACTTTGTACCAATCATGTAGAATCACAACATTATAAAGATAAAAGAACAAAAAAAAAAAAAAAAAAAAATTATAGTTTCTCTCTAGGTATAAGCGATATAAACGATATCAACATAATTACACATCAGATAATGAAAACTTTAATATGTAGAATGTAGAAGTTATTAATGACTAGAATAAAAAATAATTAAATTCCTTTCTGATAAATTTTAAGTTTCCTCTCAGCGTTCGAAAATTTACCATGTAAAAGTTAAACCCCCTCAATTTGAGGGGGTTACAAATTTTATATGATCATAAATTTTGAACGCTGAGAGATAATACTATGAAACTTGAAATTTATCAATGATTATAAGTCTAATTAAAAATAGTACAAAAAAAAAGTTTATCAACTTGTTACCCCTCATGTTTGGAGTGGTGGGATGAAGTCAATGGGCTTTTTCGTTCCCAGCTTCCAATCATCGCAATTTTTTACACAGCCTCATTATTTGACATAATTATAAACTTTGGAGTTTGAAGTTTGCTCTATATTTGGAAATTAGCTATCTTAATCATTAAAAAATTCTGGATCCGTCACTGGTATCTACGTAAAAGCGTTCAGTGCTTCAATGCACTGAAACTTTAACTCCTTTTTTTTTTTTTATTACTATAAGTATATATAATTTACAATAGAAGTATTTAGCTTCTATGAACTGGACATCTTATGAGACGCTGCTATAGTAAATTTTATTCTAGTGGAACGACAAAAATATTGTATTTGTTTTAAAATTCGTTGACAGAATGTGAGGAAAGAACAGAAGAAGACAAGGCATTCCATTGGGGTGCACTTCTATCAGGTAAGAAGTTATGTCAATACAAGTTATTTGAAATTTCGAAAATTAAAATGACTTGTTCTACTTCTCTAATAAGCAGAGTTAGTAATATTTGTTTAGCTTGTTGAATGTTTTTAAGTTTATAATAATTTTATTATTTTTACTTTTTTAAACTGCTATTAAAAGAAATAAACTGTCAGTGTGAATCCCTTTTGTACTTTCTTTCAAAGTAATGTTGGTTTCTAAGGCCATTGCCTTAAAATGTTCTTTTTCTTTTGTTGTTACTTGTATGCTATTTAGTTTTAAAAGTATTTTATCAGTATTTTCATGAGATCTGCCGCGTTATAGTTTTATTTATCTTTTTGAAAAATGGATATAAAAGTCCCATATCTGAAAGTTTGCTTACAGCAATTTGGGGCTTTTAAAAATTAATTATTTAAGCAAATAAATAAATTTTTTTAACTAAATAATAAATTTTACTTAATTAAATAACTATCTTATTTAAAAAAATCTTTATTTTATCTGGTTTAAGAAGTGCCTTAAGAGGCCCATACGGTTTTCTAACAGAGCACGACAGATAAGCATTTAACTAGAAAAATTACACCTCTTTCCTTACCAATCTCGCAATTGAACTACAAATCTTTTTGAATCTGAAGCAAGCACTCTAACAACTACGTCGAGCCTGGTATAATTTGGACCAAAAACAATGTCTGGTTATTTTTCTAACCAGCTCATTTTTCAAACGTTCTTCAACTAATAGATGTTGCTGTTTTTGCGTATGCTTTGTCAAAAAGAATTTTTTAAAAAAAGAGCAATTATTACAACATTTTAATACAGATCAAAGTTCAGCAATTTCTCAAAAAAGTGCATTAGTCAACTCTTAGTAAAGCCTTTAAGCTCCGGTGAAATTTTTAAACTCGCGTACAGGTGGTTGCACCCCAAAAGCCACGCAAAAGTAGGAGGGTCTAGATTTATTTTCTAGGGACAGATCATAATTTTGTTAATATGGGTTCTGAAAGATAAGCCTAAATAGGGTTCTTCCTGGTAGGTATGGTTTTTTAAGTCTCGCTTGAGTTCTTTTTCTAGAATGTTGAAGTTAACCACACTTTTTTTCATGCACCCCAAAAACAACATTGACAAAATTGGCTATAAAATCTAAACTATTTGGAATTAAGACCTGATTTTTTGTAGAAGATAGTTATAATAAATTAGTCTTAGGATGATTGTATCATTGCTAACTTAAATTTTTAGGATGTACTTCAATGTACCACAAAAACCACATCATGTGCACCCCAAAAACCACGTTGGTTATTTGAATATTTTAGAAAATATATAAAATAATTCAATAAAAAAATTTTAGGATGTACTCTAAGATAGAAGCTCTTTGTCATCATAAAAAAAAAAAAAAAAAAAAGTTAATGTATTGTGGAAATACTACCATTGAACTATGTTATGTTTTTTGTTGTTTTAGAATTTTGTTTAATATAATATTATAAAGTAAAATGAAACCATCATCTGCATTACATCTACGTATAAACAAATCAAGAAATCTCAGTACTAAAGCTGATGCCATAGTGGCCAGAAAACACACAAATGATAAAAATAAACAGTTAGAAGCTGCAATAAATTGGTGTAAAAAATTTAATGGAAGGGGACAAGCAGCATTAAAGACAGGTTTGTTTCCCCTTATTAAAGATAGAGAGACAATTAACAGGCGATTAGATGGAAAAGTGATTAATGGAAAAGAAAGAGACTATTGTACTATACATACAGATGATGAAGAAGCATCTATTGTGCGTTTTATAAAAAATAAGAACAGATGTTTACAGGCAATTAACAAACAGGACATAACCAAATTAATTATTAATGTGCTTCGTGTGAGAGATTACACTAATACAAAAATGAAAGGTGGACGGAAGTTTCAAAAGTTATCATTAAATGCTCGAGCTGCTCTAGAAAAGGGAAAGTAAGTTTAATTGAATTCATTTAATCTACAATGATCCTATAAAAGTATGTAAGACGGGTAATATGACTCTTTTCTTTATGTAAATATTCCATTTTATAGATTGAGTCGATCATTTTGGCTTCGTTTTAATGCTAAACATAGCAGCCTTACAATCAAACGCCAAGGGAGTGTCTCGATAAACCGTGCACTTAATTGTTCAAGAGAAATCGCATGTAATCATTTAGGTAAGTTATTAATGTACAAATATAAATTCATAAATCTGAATGTACTTTTTTTTTTAATTTGTTCATTTCCCTATAATAACATTATTTCAGATTCCCTTGCTAAAGAACTAGTAGATGTTGGTATTATGATAAATGAAAAAATGATTGAAACAGGGGTTTGGAATGGCACTTTTGATACATGCCGAATATTTAATTGCGATGAAACACCCCAGTTTATTAATTATGGAATTGATGGTACCACTTCTGGATTATTTTATGCTGGCAAAGGAGATGCATGTCAAAGAATGTATAGAGAAAACAGAGAATGTGTCACAATTCAACCATTTGTTTCATTTTCAGGTATGCTATAATATGTTATGGTTCAAGAAAAAATTGAATATAAATAAATACAAGCATTAAAAAACTTTTTTATTTTTTATTTTTAGGCGACATATGTATGTGTCAGGTAATATTTAAATGTACTGGTATTACTAGTTCTATGGTTCCAACAGAAGCAGTAAATAAAATTCCCCATTTGTTGGTCACAACTACAGATAATGGAGTATCAACCCATGAATCTTTCTTGGCAGCATTGAAAGAGTTTGATGTCTACTTAAATGAAAAAAATGTTAAGCGACCCATCGTCTTATTATCAGATGGACATAGCTCTAGACTAGACTTTGATGTATTATCTTTTTTGGAGTCCAAAAGAATTCATCTTTTTCTTACTCCACCAGACACAACAGGAGTTACTCAACTTCTTGACCAAGTAAACAAGAACATTCATAGTGAGTATCGTAAGCAAAAAGACTCTATGTTTTCTGATATCTGTTCCTTAAACAAAGAAGCTTTTATGTTAGTTTTAGCTAATATATGGGACAAGTGGACAACCAAAGAAATGCTTGTAAAATCTGCTTAAAGGGTTGGTGTTGCCGAAAATGCATTGAGTGTTGATTTTATGCAAAAAGACAAATTCGAACGAGCAGAAAACTGTATTGAACCAGAAAAACAGACTTCTCCACTAATTTCTTCGCCGGATAAAAGACGTGGTTCAGCAAATTATTGGAAATCAAAATTTGAACAAGCGATGGAGTTGATTGATGAACTTCATGAAAAGAGCATTCAGCTGGAAGAAATACCTGGTTTTATGACAACCAAAAAGATAAAGCCAAAATTAACAAAAGATGCAACACGTGTTACCCAAGTACATGGATCAATGACTGCAAGCGATGTAATAACTCTAGTTGAAAGCATAAAAAGAAAAAAAGGAAAAGAAAAGGAAAAAAAAGAAAATGCTGCAAAAAAGAAAGAGGAAGTTACAAGACTCTTTATAACATGTAAGCTTCAATGCTATTGCGAGGAGATAAAATGTAAAGCTTTTGGCTTAAAGCAGTGTCAAACCTGCCTCAATATAATGCGGTCCATTTGCAGCAAAGCAAACTGCAAAGTAAATGGAAAAAACCCAGAAATGATTTTATCTGCAGCTGCTAGAAAGAAATAACTGTGATATTAAAAATCTTTTTTATTGAATGAACTATTTGTTTTAAATTTGTTGTAAAGACTTGTTCTGGATAAACTTTTTTTTTTTAACTTTTTCTTAGCGCACCCCAAAAACCACGTTAAAATGTAATTTTTAAACTTTTTTTTACAAGTTTCCCTTCTACTTATAATAAAAATGGTTTGATTTATGTAAATAGCATATAAAAGATAAGCAAACTAGATGGGATTTGCAAACTTAGTCTAAAAAACCAATATTTTATAGCAATATTACTTAAAACTCAATTATTTTTCTCAGCACTTTTTAAGTTTAAAACGGTTGTAAAAAAAACTCCTTTATTGTTAATATTGATTTCTTTTGTTTTAATTGTTGCTGAAACATTCCTTTATGAGAAAAAATTTCTCATATGGTTTTAAAATGCATATTTAAATTTTTGAGCCTTTTAACTGACCGCGTTGTTTTTGAGATGCCTTGGTTTTTGGGGTGCATCTACCTGTAAATTACTAAAACACAAAATTTTTTTATTAGGATTTTTATTTAGAATTGCTGAAATAACGTTTCAGCTGTGTAAGGGTTTCAGCTGTGCATAGACCAGTTGCAAATGTTTACATTTTTGCCGTAAACTAACGCATGCGCAGTAGTTGGTAGGCAAAAGAAAATAAACAAAATATTATTGAAACATAATGCCTGTATCTTGTCGTGCTTTTGGTTGCTCCAGTAGGAAAAAAAAAGGAGATTGTTTAAGTTTTTACCGAATTCCATTTGGAACAACAACAGAAAAAGCGAGATTGGTTATCGGACGTTTCAAGATAAACCTCAGTTACCCGACCAAGTGGCCAATTGCCTCTTGAAGCATTTTCGGAGATCACCAATACCAGATTGCCTATTGATAAGTTTCCCATTACAATATTGCATTTTTTTTTGTGGTCCAAGCATGAATAACCATTCTTTCATCCAGCAATGCCAAAAAAGTTTTATTAATTCTTGGACTCGTCGCTATCTTCTTTTTGGTTGAATGAAGTAATATCCACTGCATCAGCGGCGAACTTACCACCTAATTGTCCAAATAAAAAATGATTTGGTGCAAGAGGTGTGCAGTCTTTAGGATCACTCGATTGATAAGCCAATCAAGTGATCCTAAAGGTCGTGAGTTTAGACATATAGTAGCAGAATATTGGTACAACTATCTGTTCCACATTTTCTTGATTTCTCGCATTTATTTTCAACATAATCATTACCCAAACAACATAGATGATGAAACTTTGCTTGTTTCCATCTTTTACTTACTGCCATGAATTTGAACTTTTCACATTCCTAAACTGCATGTTTACCATCACAAATTTCGCACGTTTTTGTTACATTGTCTTTGAGCTTTACTCCAAAGTATGTTCTTTGTTTTTCTTTAAATTTTTTAAAGGGTTTTTCTTGATTATACTTTATATCTTCCGAACCACATAAAGTTTCCTGCGCAATTGTATAAAACTCCGCTTCTTGAATAACCCATTCTCGTAACGATTCCACCCCAGGACTTTTTTGCTTTTCAAATAACCATCGTAAAAATACACTTAGCATTGTTTTTGGTAACTTCTTCAGAAGTTTAATCTAGAGTGAGCCATCTGCTAACTCGTCGAATTTTCCCAATTCTTTTAAATTTATGACTGCAATGTCCAACATATCAGCAAAGTTTTCAAGATCATTTGGGTGGTTTGGTTTTAATAAACTGAAGTTTTTCACTCTCTAAAAATACAAGGCAATTTGTAGTCGTTTGCCATCATACTTCCTATCAAATTGATCTTGTGCAGCTTTGTACGCAGCTTTTGAATACCCCAAACTTTCAACAACTTCTCCTGTTAAGTACTGGCGTAGTTGCAAGAGTTTATATTCCGGTGCAGCTGGAGCCCTATCAATACATGCTTTGAACGCTGCCTTCCAATTTTCGTATTGTGTTTTATCTCCAGAAAAGACAGGAATCAACGCTCTAGATAAGTGTCTCCATAAGTCTTGCCCAATTTCTCTTTTCGTACTAAAGTTGTTATTTTTCGGTTGAAAGTCAATACCTTTTTCACAGTACTCCGTTATTTTAGATGGTTCACCTCGCCAACCAGTTACAACAGGGCGTGTTTGATAGTCTTTTTTTACATCAACAATTTTATCATGTCGTTTAACTTGGGCATTCAGTTGGTCATTTTTCAACTCATCTCATTCTATTTGCCGATTATAATTCAAATGTTTTACATACCCATCATCCATCAATCCATTATCCATTAATCCACAACGCATTGATCCCATTTCCATTTTCCCCATACCATGTTGTTCATAACCAACTTTATCGATGCTATTTTTATTTTTCATTTTTTGACAAATCCTTTCAAGTTGACGTTTACGTTCGCCACCATCCTCTATTGTGGCAATACTTGAAGCGTCATTTTTTTCGAGAGTAGAGATATTCATACGTCACTTTGTCTGCTTCCATGTTATTTTTCATGAACTGCGTAACATATTAAATAGTAATGAATAAAATAAATTTGACAATTTGTAAACACTCAAAGTTAAAAAAAAAATTGTAAAAATTGTAAAAAAAACAAAAGTCTAAAACAATGGAAATTATTTAGCTGTTATAAAAATTAGTTTAATTTGCTGCTTTAAGCTTCACATACAAACTAAATTTTTTAAATAGAATCATTTGATCTAAGCCTAATTTGTCCAAACTTGCAATATTGGATAGGAAAGCCTTGTAAACTTTTAAGTAGATTTTTGTTCCGCGGTGCTCTGTGACAAGACCGTTAGGTTTTCTTAGAGTGTTTTAATTATCCAAAGAAGTCCAATATATGCAAATATACTGTTAAATTACTAAAGAAAAAAATAAGACTATTAGCTAAACCGTAAGGTCAAAATATCTTGCTTAATTTCCACGTTTTGATATAAAACGATTTACAAAAATAAAAAAAATTAGGAAAGGGAACAAAAAAAGAGCAGCCGTAGCGCAGTGGTTAGCGCGCTTGCCTCAGAAGCAGAGATCCATGGTTTGACGCCACTTCCGGACAAATTTTGTAACATCGCTAATGAAAGAGATGTAAACTTCTTTTCAAATGCTCTTCCGTGGTGCTCTCTAATAAGACCATAAGAACTTCTTGGAACACCTAAATTGAAAAAATAAAAAAATTACACGAAAAATTAGGAAACAGGCGCAGCAAACGTGTAGAAACATTAGCAACTGTTTATTATCCATTATGGGATCAATGCTCTCGTTGTAATCTAAAATCGACATTGGTTGCATTACTGCTCAATAGTGTTGTTGCGACTATTAAATAATTCGACTGTCGATTAAATCGACTAATATATTTTCTAAAGTGACATACGTTTTTAAAATCGATTAAAAGTCGATTTAGTCGAATTATTTAAATAATTTTTTTTTTAAATAAATTGTAATAAAAATTATAAATTAATTTGTATTGGCTTTTTATTTTTTAACATGATATTATATAAATATTAGTAGAGCAAAATAATATGAGAGAAGGGCTGCATCAACAACGGGACAATTTATTCCCAGACCTCAAAAATTTAGGGAGCGCTTTAAATAATTGCTATGAATCAAAATCCTTGGGATTTAAATTTTGGAGCTTTACAACCTAAATTTGCCCCAGGGCCCCAATAAAATGGGATAAAACATTTTATCCATCTTTGATGAAAGTTTTATCCTATTTTAAAACGTATTGTTTTATTTTAAAATTCAATAAAAACAGTCAAATTTTACATTAATTTATTATTGCTAAAACAATATATTTCATAACAAACACCCATTTAGTATTTTATTTTGTTTTAATGAGTTTTAAGTGGACTAGCATAAAAAAAGTCTCATTTACATCAGTTTTACTCGTTTACATCAGTTTTACTAACACACTGTGCAAAATGAGCAAAAGGAACATCTTTACATTTTGCCAAAAATGTAAAGATATCCTCAAAAAAAAAAAAAAATGCTTTTAAAAAGAACAAAAGTAACTTTTTTTTTCCTTTGAGCTTTCCTTGATATCAATATGAAACAATTGTTAGAGTACATTAATTACTGATTGGCTCACTAAAATTACAATTTACCATCTAGCAAATGATTGAAGATAATATTTACAGTGGTGGCCACACACACACAAATTTAAAGTCATGACCACACGCATATTTTGATCTCTCCAATAGTGTACTTAGGCAATAATAACTAATTTTTGTAGCGATTTTTATTCGGAAACCTTACTAAATATCTAGTTACTGATGTGACGCGATATTAGCAACCAAATATCATTATTTTTGTTATTACAACTACTGTAATTTTTGTAAATTACTGTTCTGTGTTGATTTGATCAGAAATTGTTGATATCAGTTTGGTAAGTTTAAGATTTTTCTAGCATTGTTTTAGTAGATTTTACTTGAAA